GAGACAGAAGTATCACTTGAGGAGCCCAGGAGTTTGAGACCAGCCTGGGCAACACAGCAAGATTCTATCTTTATAAAAATAATCATGAAGGCTCGGTGCGGTGGCTCGTGTCTGTAATCCCAGCACTTTGGGAGGCTGAGGCGCGTGAATCATGAGGTGAAGGGATCAAGACCATCCTGGTCAACATGGTGAAACCACGTCTCTACTAAAAATACAAAAGAAAAAAATTAGCTGGCCATGGTGGCACACGCCTGTAATCCCAGCTATTCAGGAGGCTTGAGACAGGAGAATAGCTTGAACCCAGGAAGTACAGATTGTTATTAGCCGAGATCAGTGCCATTGCACTGCAGCCTGGGTAACAAGAGCAAAACTCTGTCTCAAAAAAAAAAAAAAAAAAAGAAGGGTACAGGGGCTTGCTCCTATAATTTGAGCTACTCAGAGTGCTGAGACAGAAGTATCACTTGAACAGCCCAGGAGTTTGAAATCAGCCTGGGCAACATAGCAAGATTCTATCTTTATAAAAATATCATGGAGGCCGGGCACTTTGGTCCAAGCCTGTTTTTCTAGCACTTTGGGAGGCAGAGGCCAATGGATCACTTGAGGTCAGTAGATTGGACCAGCCTTGCCAACACGGTGAAACCCCTCTTCTACTAAAAATACAAAAATTAGCTAGGTGTGGCGGCATACACCAGTAGTCCCAGCTACTAGGGAGGTGGAAGCAGGAGAGTCGCTTAATGCCAAGAGATGGAAGTTGCAATGAGCCAAGTCTGTGACATTGCACTCCAGCCTGGGCAGCAAAAAGAGTGAGACTGTGTCTTAAAAAAAAGAAAAGAAGGCCGGGCGCGGTGGCTCAAGCCTGTAATCCCAGCACTTTGGGAGGCCGAGGCGGGTGGATCACGAGGTCGAGAGATCAAGACCATCCTGGTCAACATGGTGAAACCCCGTCTCTACTAAAAATACAAAAAAATTAGCTGGGCATGGTGGCACAGTGCCTGTAATCCCAGCTACTCAGGAGGCTGAGGCAGGAGAATTGCCTGAACCCAGGAGGCGGAGGTTGCTGTGAGCCGAGATCGCACCATTGCACTCCAGCCTGGGTAACAAGAGCGAAACTCCGTCTCAAAAAAAAAAAAAAAAAAAAGAAAAGAAAAGAAAAAATAGAAAAGAAAAAAAAAAGAAGAATCAGTAAATAATTCAATAGGCAGGCTCAAATAGCTTACAATTTTCTAAAGAATCTTCATGAGGAATCCTCTTCATTTCTCGTGGTTTTTCAATAATCTAGAAGAAAAACACAATCGGTTTAAGAATAACATGCAGCAAGTTAAAATAATTACAACAGCCACCATTACTACGTGATCTAATACAAAATGTACAGGTTTTGAAGTCACTCATAAGTAGATTCAAATCTTGAGTCCGCCATTTACTTATCTACGTATTCTAACACCGTGATGATTATGATTGGTGGTACACATAGTCTCACAATGTTACTCCTTTCAACCCTAGTGGATTATTACATAAATACTATGATACTCATTAGTTTCTTTTCCTATCCACAACAACCTAGGACAAAAATTTACTCGTATGTAAATTTTAGTATCACTGAATAAAAGTAGTAATACAAAAGTAAATTAACTACATTATATTTCAAAATATCTATGCATTATATCTACCTGTGTGAATTACACTTTGTGGAAAAAAAATGCGAGCCTTTGGTTTTTAGTAGTACTATATTTAAATGGGTTGGCATTGGAAACAATACAAGTTGCTTACATTCTCTGTGTTATAAGCTAAGAACAAATTATTGTATAACTTCAGCTCCTTCCGAAAAATATAGTACAAAACAACCAACCACCTTATAGAGCAATGATTGATAAATGAAAGCCACACAGAGCTGCTAAAGAGAAAGCTGTAATAAGTGTGCTGATAATAGAAACAGAGGTGAAATGAAAAAACAGACACTAAAGATGTGTTTTGCAAGGAAAAAGTTAAGACTGAGTAAAATATTTTTTAAACAAAGAGGAAGGACAGAGAAACAAACAACGAGAGGGACATGACCAGTCAATCAAATGTGAGCTTAAAAGAAAATCTTGTGTTCATGATATAAGCCCAGTAATACTGATTAGCATTTACTCTACAATTTGTTTTGTGCCAATACTTATATAAGAGTTTAATTCATTTATTATAAAATAAGACATCCCAAGAATTAAACATGATCATCCACCTGAAAGCTGAAACATTCTTACTACAGAGAAAGAGAAAGAGAAAAATAAAGTTCCATCAACTTTCCGCCTGGAGAAAGAATTTTTTTCACAATTCCAAAGAGTAATGTATGCCTTGAAAAATATATATTTAATAGAACATGATTGGGGCTTTAAAAGTTTAATAAAATTTAATCTAAAACTCTAATCTACGCTTCCAGTTGGAAGATATTAAATAACATGCTGTATCCACCTTTCCTATTTCCTATCCATCTTTTCTAATTTTTATTTTCTTCCATATGACATATTTTTTAAACAGAAGTAACGTAAATGTACACATTGTCAACCTTAAAAGGAAAGATAAACTAAAAACATTCCAGAAATTTAACAGACTTAATTACTAGCTATATTATGCATATTTGTTAACTATAACATTCCTTTATATGAAAGCCCATTTACCCATTTGTTTATTCCCATTAAAAAGATTACAAAGTTTCTTACATGCAAGATCTTATTCTAGGTATTCCAGGATACATAAAAATATGTTCTCTATTTCAAGTGGCTCATAGTAATGCAGGAGCTTTACAATTATTTTTTCAAGAACAAAGACAAACGCCTATGTAATTTGAAGTTTAGAATGATACAAGGATCCTGAGTGGATATTCTTTAAAATTATAATGTAAAAATCTTGTAAAATTAAAGTCTTAACATAAGAATATGAAGAGTCCCTGCTTAGCAAACAGGTTTTTTTTTTTTTTAACAAAATGCATATTCTTCAAACATATTAAGAGTTTAAAGTATTTAAATTTTAAAAAGACTTAATTTAACAAAGCCTTAGAAAACACAGTGTAATCCCTTTGCAATACAGGTTTCAGAACAGAACTTACATTTTTAATCTCTCACAATTTCTCTTTAATTAGAGATAAAGTCTTGGTATATTGCCAAGCTTGGTCTTAGACTCCTAGACTCAAGCAATTCTCCTAGCTTCATCTCTTGAAGAGCTGGAACTACAGGCACATGATACCATGTCTAGCTAAATTTCCACAATTTCTGGAATTATTTTAGTCTAATTATAGAATCAAAGATAAAAACAAATAGCTCTCCGCAAAAAACAAAACTGTATGATATCCAAATAACTGTACAAGAAATTTTAAAAAAAAGATATGCTCTGTGTAACGGGGCATTCCATGATTCCTATAAGAAGTCATCTGATCTATTAAAGAGTCATTTAAACAAAAGTATTATTCATCATACTCAAATTATTTATATCTCAAAGTAAAAACAATTACTCAAATAAGCCTAGACCAAAATTTGCATTTCCTCTATTACAAGAAAGCATTCTCTAACATTTTTCTGTCACTATATATTTTCCAACCCATTATTTTCAGATCCCAATTCTCGAAGTATTTTTTTTTATCAACTATTTCTTACTTGCCAAGTAAAAAAAAAAAATTAGCCCCTCCTATTTCTTTGAAATGGTTATCTCTAATAGAATTTTTAATACAAATGTAAAACAATTATAGGTAGACACCTGCTAAATTTCAGAAGGTAATAATATAAAAAATGAGATTCAGAGTGAGAAAATTAGTATCACAAGTGAGTACTTTACCTCAGAATCGGAATCAGACTCATCCTCTGGCACAGGCTTTGCAACAGTATCTGGTTTCCAGAGATGCCTACAGAGCAAAAAGATACAACAAAAATGAGCACGTTTATTTCTTAAAACAAAACAAACACTGCCAGTCTATACATACATGTCCCCGACCAAAAAAAAGGGTAAGTAAAAGGAAGTCTGAGGAAGTCAGCTACCTGTACATTAAATAATATTTCTTGACATAATTTAGATATGGTCTCTGTTTTAGAAAACATTTTAGTTACCTATTTTGCCTCCACCTCTCCCAAACTATGAAATATCCAATGAACACTCGCTCTTAAGCCCATAACAAATACTGACAGACAATACAATGGCACAGCCAGACAATACTTTGTCCTTACACACTATCTACCCTAAAGGCTAAACTGAAAATCCAAGTTCTTGATATCTGACAGAACTTTTGCTACTGAACTAGAATAAACCTGATAACCTAAAACAAGGTAGAAAATGCACTGTCTCTTCTCCATTATCTATCTCTGATTCAGACTAATCTCTGTCACTGGAAGATGGGAGTCTTGGATCTTCAGCATGTAAGCTACTTAGAGAGTGCCCATTGATTCTGTTTACTCTAGAACACTACACGGATCCCCTGAAACACTGGACACATTTGAAAGCTGAGTGTACAAAAATGAAAATACAAACGTTTATGTTGTTACTGGGAGTAACCTTCACAGAAGATTAAAACATTAAAAATTATAAAATCTAATTACTGGTATTATATAGATCCTGCCTTACTGAGGTCCACAAAAATCACCAAGATTAAAAACCTTCCGCTGGGCACGGTGGCTCATGCCTCTAATCCCAGCAATTTGGGAGGCACAGGTGGGTGGATCATGAGGTCAGGAGTTCCAGACCAGACTGGCCAACATGGTGAAACCTCGTCTCTACTAAAAAATACAAAAATTAGCGGGCCATGGTGGGTGATGCCTGTAATCCCAGCTACTTGGGATGCTGAGATAGGAGAATTACTTGAACCAGGATCCGGGAGGTAGAGGTTGCAATTAGCCAAGATCGCGCCATACAATCGAGCCTGGGCTACAGGGCAAGACTCTATCTCAAAACAAACAAACAAACAAACAAAACTTTTATAGACACTCAGATACCTAAGAGACAGACTGCTGGAATAGTCTCACTCCTGAGTAGTTATAGCTCCATTTTATTAAATACTACCTAAATATCTTCCTTCCTATATGCCACCACTTCTAGATTTCTCTTCTGCAGGGATCCATGGCAGTAACCAATCTACATTTTCAGCCTAGAAAACCCCTGATTCCTAAGAAGACAAGCTACAGTAATTGAGATTAGGAGTTCTCTATTCCTCTGCTGCTGGAAAGTAAGTAAGTCTCAGTCAACCACCCCAAGCATTGGGATGTTACCAACTACCCAACTGAAGCTTCATTACCAGTTTGCCAACCAATCCTACCTTTGCCCTAACCTACAGGTACATGAGAGAATTGAAAAAAGAGGCAGAAAATAGAGACATCCACCATGAGTCACAGATCTATGTACTTAAGCAATCTCCAGCTCCCTAATCTGTGAGGGTTTCTAAGCCCTCTGTAAGCTTGCATGAAAGATGATGATACCACATTCCTATATGCTCCAGAGACTCTTTCCAGCGGCTCAAATTCTTTTAACATTTTTCAATAAAAACTTTAAAGTTTGGCCGTTCCTCCAGTTAAACAGACAAAAAGGCAGCAGGCTTTTCAGAACTCCTTGAATGCCCTATTTTAATACGCCTTTCTTGATAACTCCCAACATCCCGTGTTTCCAACTTCTTAAGTGTTTCTCTTCAAATTTAGCTGTGCCCTGCAAATTCCATTCTTATCCACTTTCATTGAGTTCAACACCTCATTCCACTCTCATCCTCTTCCACTGTGTTCACTAGAGCCACTCCCTCTTTCTGTTATAAAAACAGTGACAAAATGATGTAAAAGAAGATTGGGTTTTGAATTAAGAAACCTGAGTGCAAATGTCATTTCTGCAATTTACTGTATCCAACTGAATAATTTCATCTCTTTGAGTTTCAGATTCTCCACCTGAACAACCACTTAATCAGGATGTTAAACACAGATTCAAGTACTACAGGGTATTTTATTTAGTCTCCAGGATTTCTTAAAATTCTCAAATTCTGTGCCCTTCTCATTTTGTCTATAGGAAAATGGGGAATATTTAGCTACCATACAGGAAAACAATAATAGAAAGTAATAAACCCTAAGCAAAGTAGAAGAGAAAGTAAAAAGAAATCAAGAAGAGATTATTTAAATGTCATAGAAAGCAAAAAAATAAATCCAGCAAAGAAAAAGCTTCATTGAACTAGGCAGAGTACTCAAAGAGAAAACCAAACTGGGTAGTCAGTAAGCGGAGAAATGAATTCGAAATATCTTTTAAAATATGCTAAATATAGTTAACATAACACAGACTATATATAGATATTCTCCATGTACAGTAAAATAATTTCTGTCTTGGACCGACCCGGTCTTGCTTATTAAACACCTAGGGTCCTTTGGCCACAGATAACTCATATCTGCCTTCAAAACTTTGATGGTTAAAGACAAAAAAGGTACTCTTTACCACCGTAATTTCCAAACATATTAGGACAAACTTTTGTGGTAGCCAAACTTCTAAGGAACAAGCTGAAGAGAGTTAATATATAACAAAATGTGACTTTCTGAATTGATCTGATTTAAACCAGTACCTTGATCCCATTTCTTTTTTTTTTTTTTTTTTTGAGACGGAGTTTCGCTCTTGTTACCCAGGCTGGAGTGCAATGGCTCGATCTCGGCTCACTGCAACCTCCGCCTCCTGGGTTCAGGCAATTCTCCTGCCTCAGCCTCCTGAGTAGCTGGGATTACAGGCACGCGCCACCACGCCCAGCTAATTTTTGTATTTTTAGTAGAGACGGGGTTTCACCATGTTGACCAGGATGGTCTCGATCTCTTGACCTTGTGATCCACCCGCCTTGGCCTCCCAAAGTGCTGGGATTACAGGCTTGAGCCACCGCGCCCGGCCCCTTGATCCCATTTCTGCATATGTCTCTTTCCATCTATGTTTAGGGGCAAAAGAAGCGATTTGAGAATGAGACAGGATGGTCAAATCATGAGTTGGCTACCTATTAACTATGAAATCATGAGCCAATATTACAATCTCTTTAACCAAGGTTGCCTAATTAGTAAAAAACCAATAATAGCACAAATACTTTGCAAAGTTGTGAAAAGATGAAGATGAGAAATGTCAAGCATGTAATATGGTGTCTAGTATAGAGTAGAACACTAAACAGATAGTAGTTTCTGTTCTATTTACTTAGTTAACATATCACTTAAAAAAAAAATCTATGAAATCATACCTGTCAAAACACTCTTCAACAGGAGGAAGCACTACCGAAAAAATCAAAATGCATTTTAAATCAACAATACAAAAGGATAAAATATTAGAAACATAAAAGAGCACAGGGGCTTGCTCCTATAATCTCGGCTAGTCAGAAGGCTGAGACAGAAATATCAACTGAGCAGCCCAGGAATTTGACACCAGACTGGGCATCATAGTAAGATTCTATCTTTTATAAAAATAATCAAGCAGGCCTGGCATGGTGGCTCAAGCCTCTAATACCAGCACTTTGGGAGGCAGAGGCCAGTGGATCACTTGAGGTCAGGAGGTTGAGACCAGCCTGGCCAACATGGTGAAACCCCGTCTCTACTAATAATACAAAAATTAGCTAGGTGTGGTGGCACACACCTGTGGTACCAGCTACTAGGGAGGTGGAGGCAGGAGAATCACTTGATTACAAGAGATGGAAGTTGCAATGAGCCAAGTCTGTGCCATTGCACTCCAGCCTGGGCAGCAGAAAGAGTGAGACTGTGCCTTAAAATTTAAAAAAATAAATAAAAATAAGAGAGAAAAGAAAAAAAAAAGAATCAGTAAATAACTCAATAGGCAGGCTCAAATAGCTTACAATTTTCTAAAGAATCTTCATGAGGAATCCTCTTCATTTCATGTGGTTTTTCAATAAGCTAGAAGAAAAACACGATTAAGAATAACATGCTGCAAATTAAAATAATTATAACAGCCACCATTACTACGTGATCTAACACAAAATGTACAGGTTTTGAAGTCACTCGTATGTAGATTCAAATCTCGAGTCTGCCATTTACTTATCTACATATTCTTTTTTCTTTTTTCTTTTTTTTTTTTTTTGAGACGGAGTTTCGCTCTTGTTACCCAGGCTGGAGTGCAATGGTGCAATATCGGCTCACCGCAACCTCCGCCTCCTGGGTCCAGGCAATTCTCCTGCCTCAGCCTCCTGAGTAGCTGGGATTACAGGCATGCGCCACCATGCCCAGCTAACTTTTTGTATTTTTAGTAGAGACGGGGTTTCACCATGTTGACCAAGATGGTCTCAATCTCTTGACCTCCTGATCCACCCGCCTCGGCCTCCCAAAGTGTTGGGATTACAGGCGTGAGCCACCGCGCCCGGCCCTTATCTACATATTCTAATGCTGTGATGATTATGATTGGTGGTACACATAGTCTCACAATGTTACTCCTTTCAACCCTAGTGGATTATTAGATAAATACTATGATACTCATTAGTTTTTTTTCCTATCCACAACAACCTAGGACAAAAATTTACTCATATGTAATTTTGAGTATCACTGAATAAAAGTAGTAATGCAAAAGTAAATTAACCACATTATTTTTCAAAATATCTATGCATTATATCTATCTGTGTGAATTAAATTTTGTGGGAATAAAATGTGAGCCTGTGGTTTTTAGTAATACTATATTTAAATGGGTTGGCATTGGAAACAGTACAAGTTGCTTGTAGTCTCTGTGTTAAAAGCTAAGAACAAATTATTGTATAACTTCAGCTCCTTCCGAAAAAGGGAGAACAAAACAACCAACCACCTTATAGAGCAATGATTGATGAATGAAAGCCACACAGAGCTGCTAAAGAGAAAGCTGTAATAAGTGTGCTGATAATAGAAACAGAGGTGAAATGAAAAACAGACACTAAAGACATGTGTTCTGGAAGGAAAAAAGATTGAGGTAAATCTTATTTTTTTATTTTTTTATTTTTAGCTTAAAACAACGGATTTTTATTCTCTTACAGTTCGGGAGGTCAGAATTCCAAAATCAGTATCTCTGGTCAAAGTCAAGTTGTCACCCAGGCTGTGCTCTTTCTGTAGATCTGGGGAGGAATCCATTCCTTGCCTCTTTCTGTTGGCAGCTGGCACTCCTAGGTTTATGGACGCATCGTTCCAGTCTCTGCCACTGTGGTCACATGGTGTTCCCTTCTCCTTGGGTGTGCCAGATCTCTCTCTGCTTTTCTCCTATAAGGGTACACGTGATCTCATTTAGAGCCCACCTGGAAAATTCAGCGGCATCTCCCTATGTTAACATCTTTGATTCACTCATCTGCAAACTCTAGTGCCATAAAAGAAAACACTCATGGGTTATGGAATTGGGACATAGACACATCTTTGGGGTAAATCATTTTTAAACAAAAAGGAAATGATGGAGAAACAAACAAAAAGAAAGACATGACCAGTCAATCAAACGTGAACTTAAAACAAAAGCTTGTGTTCATAATATAAGCCCAATAATACTGGTTAGCATTTACTTTACAATTTCTTTTGTGTCAACACTTAAATAACAAAGAGTTTAACTAATTTACTATAAAATAAGAGATCCCAAGAGTTAAACATGATCATCTACCTGAAAGCTGAAACATTCTTACTACAGAGAGAAAGAAAAAAATAAAGTTCCATAAACTTTCCACCTAAAGAAAGAATTTTTATTCACAATTCCAAAGAATAATGTATGCCTTGAAAATATATATTTAATAGAATATGATTTGGGCTTTAAAAGTTTAAGAAAATTTAATCTAAAATCCTAATCCAAGCTTCCAGTTGGAAGATATTAGAAAACATGCTGTATCCACCTTTCCTATTTCCTATCCCTCTTTTCTAATTTTTACTTTCTTCTATATGACGTATTTTCGAGACAGAAGTCAGGTAAATTTACACAGTGTCAACCTTAGAAGAAAAGATAAACTAAAAACATTCTAGAAATTTAATAGATTTAATTATTAGCTATATTATACATATTTGTTAACTATAACATTCCATTATGTAAAAGCCCATTTGTTTATTCACGTTAAAATTATTACAATGTTTTTTATATGCAAGACCTTATTCTAGGTATTCCAGGATAAATACAAACATGTTCTCTATTTCAAGTGGCTCATACTAATGCTGGAGCTTTACAATTATTTTTTCAAGAACAAAGACAAAATCCTCTGAAATTTGAAGTTCAGAATGATACAAGGACCTTGAGTAGATATTCTTTAAAATTATAATGTAAAAATCTTGTAAAATTAAAGTCTAACCATAAGAATATGAAGAGTCCCTGCTTATCAAACAGGTTTCTTTTTAACAAAATGCATATTCTTCAAAGAGATAATGAATTTAAACCATGTTCTTAGTTTAAAAAAGACTTAGAAAACACATTGTAAACCCTTTGTAATACAGATTTAAGAATAGAACTTAAATTTCTAATCTCACATAATTTATATATATATATTATACACCATATATATATATATATATATATATATATATATATATATATAAAATTATTGCCTTTTAGGTTTTGGGGTACATGTGAAGAACATGCAAGATTGTTGCATAGGCACATACATGGCAACGTGGTTTGCTGCGTTCCTCCACATCACCTATATCTGGCATTTCTCCCCATGTTATCCCTTCCCAACTCCCCACACCCTGCTGTCCCTCCCCTAGTTCCCCCCAACAGACGCCAGTGTGTAGTGCTCCCCTCCCTGTGTCCATGCATTCTTATTGTTCAACACCCACCTATGAGTGAGAACATGCAGTGATTTTCTGTTCTTGTGTCAGTTTGCTGAGAATGATGGTTTCCAGGTTCATCCATGTCCCTACAAAGGACATGAACTCATTGTTTTTTTTGGCTGCATAGTATTCCATGGTGTATATGTGCCACATTTTCCCTGTACAATCTATCATCGATGGGCATTTGGATTGGTTCCAGGTCTTCGCAATTGAAAACAGTGCCACAATGAACATTCATGTTCATGTGTCCTTATAACAGAACGAGTTAAAATCCTTGGGATATATACCCAGTAATGGGATTGCTGGGTCAAATGGAATTTCTGTTTCTAGGTCCTTGAAGAATTGCCACACTGTCTTCCGCAATGGTTGTTCCATTGGTCTATATCTCTGTTTTGGCACCAGTACCATGCTGTTTTTATTACTGTAGTCTTGTAGTATAGTTTGAAGTCACATAGTGTGATGCCTCCAGCTTTGTTCTTTTTGATTTGAATGGACTTGGCTATGCGGGCTCTCTTTTGGTTCCCTATGAAATTTAAGCTGTTTTTTTCCAGTTCTTTGAAGAAGGTCATTGGTAGCTTGATGGTGATAGGGCTTGAATCTATAAATTACTTTGGGCAGTATGGCCATTTTCACGATACTGATTTTTCCTAACCATGAGCATGGAATGTTTCTCCATCTATTTGTGTCCTCTCTTACTTCCTTGAGCAGTGGTTGGTAGTTCTCCTCAAAGAGGTCCTTCACATTCTTTGTTAGTTGTATTCGTAGGTACTTTATTCTCTTTGTAGCAATTGTGAATGGCACTTCATTCTTGATTTGGCTCTCTTTAAGTCTGTTACTGGTGTATAGAAATGCTTGTGATTTCTGCACATTGATTTTGTATCCTGAGACTTTGCTGACATTGCTTATCAGTTTCAGGAGATTTGGGGCTGAGATGATGGGGTCTTCTAAATATATAATCATGTTATCTGCAAATAGAGACAATTTGACTTCCTCTTTTTTTAACTGAATATCCTTTATTTCTTTTTCTTGCTTGATTGCTCTGGCTAGAACTTCCAGTACTATACTGAATAGGAGTGGTGACAGACAGCATCCTTGTCTAGTGCCAGATTTCAAAGGGAATGCTTCCAGTTTTTGCCCATTCAGTATGATATTGTTTGTGGGTTTGTAGTAAATAGCTTTTATTATTTGGAGATATGTTCCAGTCTATACCTAGTTTATTGAGAATTTTTAGCATAAAGGGCTGCTTGAATTTTGTCAAAGGCCTTCTCTGCATCTATCGAGATAATCATGTGGTTTTGTCTTTTGTTCTGTTTATGTGGTGGATTATGTTTATATACTTGTGAATGTTGAACCAGCCATGCATCACCAGGATGAAGCCTGCTTGATCGTGATGGATAAGCTTTTTGATGTGCTGTTGCAATCGGTTTGCCAGTATTTTATTGAAGATTTTTGCATCTATCTTCATCATGGATATTAGCCTGACATTTTCTTTCCTTGTTGAGTCTCTGCCAGGTTTTGTATCAGGATGATGTTGGTCTCATAAAATGATGTGGGAAGGATTCCATCTTTTTGGATTGTTTGTAGTAGTTCCAGAAGGAGTGGTACCAGCTCTTCTTTGTATGTCTGGTAGAATTCAGTTGTGAACCCATCTGGACCTGGGCTTTTTTTGGTTGGTAGGCTATTAATTGCTGCCTCAACTTCAGCCCTTGTTATTGGTCTATTCAGGGTTTTGACTTCTTCCTTGTTTAGGCTTGGGAAGATGCAAGTGTGCAGGAATTTATCCATTTCTTCCGGGTTTGCTGGTTTATATGCATAGAGTTGTTTGTAGTAATCTCTGATGGTGGTTTGTATTTCTGTAGAATCTGTGGTGACATCCCCTTTATCATTTTTTATTTCATCTATTCAATTACTCTCTCTTTTCCTTTTTAATCTGGCTAGTGGTCTGTCTATTTTGTTGATCTTTTCAAAAAACCAGCTCTTGGATTTATTGATTTTTGAAGGGTTTTTTGTGTCTCTTATCTCCTTCAGTTCTGCTCTGATCTTAGTTATTTTCTGTCTTCTGCTAGGTTTTGAGTTTTTTTGATCTTGCTCCTCTAGCTCTTTCAATTTTGACAATAGGGTGTTGATTTTAGATCTTTCCTTGCTTCTCATTTGGGCATTTTTGGCCATAAATTTTCCTCTAGATACCGCTTTAAATGTGTCCCAGAGATTCTGGTATATGGTGTCTTCTTTCTCGTTGGTTTCGAAAAACATCCTGATTTCTGCCTTATCCAGATTTCATTGTTTATCCAGTAAACATTCAAGAGCCAGTTGTTCAGTTTACATGAAGTTGTGTGGTTCTGGTTTAGTTTCTTAATCCTGAGTTCTAATTTGATTGCACTGTGGTCGGACAGACTGTTAATGATTTCCGTTCTTTCGCATTTGCTGAGGAGTGATTTACTTCCAATTATGTGGTCAGTTTTAGAGTAGGTGTGATGCGGTGCTGAGAAGAATGTATATTCTGTGGATTTGGGGTGGAAAGCTCTGTAAATGTCTATTAGGTTTGCTTGGTCCAGGTCTGAGTTCAAGTCCTGGATATCCTTGTTAATTTTCTGTGTCATCGATCTGTCTAATATTGACAGTGGAGTGTTAAAGTCTCCCACTATTATTGTGTGGGAGTCTAAGTCTCTTTGTAAGTCATTAAGAACTTGCCTTATGTATCTGGGTGCTCCAGTATTGGGTGTGTATATATTTAGGATTGTTAGCTCTTCTTGTTGCATTGATCCTTTTACCATTATGTAATGTCCTTCTTTGTTTATTTTGATTTTTGTTGGTTTAAAGTCCATTTTATCAGAGACTAGGATTGGAACTCCTGCTGTTTTTTGCTCTCCACTTGCTTGGTAAATCTTCACCCCTTTATTTTGAGCCTATGTTTTTCCTTGCATGTGAGATGTGTTTCCTGGATACAGCACACCGATGGGTTTTGGCTTTTTATCCAATTTGTCAGTCTGTGTCTTTTGACTGTGGCATTTAGCCTATTTACATTTAAGGTTAATATTGTTACGTGTGAATTTGATACTGCCATTTTGATGCTAGCTGGTTGTTTCGCCTGTTACTTGATGCAGTTTCTTCACTGTGTCACTGCTCTTTAACATTTGGTATGTTTTTTAGTGGCTGGTACTGGTTCCTTTTTATGTTTAGTGCTTCTTTCAGGAGCTCTTGTAAAGCATGCCTGGTGGTGATGAAATCCCTGAACGACTGCTTGTTCATAAATAATTTTATTTCTCCTTCACTTATGAAACTTAATTTGGCTGTATGAAATCCTAGGTTGAAAGTTCTTTTTTTTAAGTATGTTGAATATTGCCCCCACTCTCTTCTGGCTTGTAGGGTTTCTGCTGAGAGATCCACTGTGAGTCTGATGGGCTTCCCTTTGAAAGGGAAGTGACCTGATCTTTCTCTCTGGCTGCCCTTAGCATTTTTTTCCTTCATTTCAACCCTGGTGAATCTGACCATTGTGTGCCTTGGGGTTACTCTTCTTGTGGAATATCTTTGTGGTGTTCTTTGTATTTCCTGGACTTGAATGTTGGCCTGCCTTGCTAGGTTGGGGAAGTTCTCCTGGATAATATCCTGAAGAGTATTTTCCAGCTTGGATTCATTCTCTCCATCACGTTCAGGTACACCTATAAAATGTAGATTAGGTCTTTTCACTAATTCCATATTTCTTGGAGGCTTTGTTCATTTCTTTTTACTCTTTTTTCTCTAATCTTGCCTTCTCATTTAATTTCATTGAGTTGATCTTCGACCTCTGATATCCTTTCTTCTGCTTGGTCAATTCAGCTATTGAAACTTGTGTATGCTTCACAAAGTTCTCATGTTGTGTTTTTCAGCTCCATCAATTCATTTACGTTCCTCTCTAAGCTGTTTATTTTCATTAGCATTTCGTCAAACCTTTTTTCAAGGTTCTTAGTTTCTTTTCATTGGGTTAGAACATGTTCTTTTAGCTCAGAGAAGTTTCTTTTTTTTTTTTTTTTTTTTTTGAGACAGAGTTTCGCTTGTTACCCAGGCTGGAGTGCAATGGCACGATCTCGGCTCACCACAACCTCCACCTCCTGGGTTCAGGCAATTCTCCTGCCTCAGCCTCCTGAGTAGCTGGGATTACAGGCACATGCCACCATGCCCAGCTAATTTTTTTGTATTTTTAGTAGAGACAGGGTTTCACCATGTTGACCAGGAGGGTCTCAATCTCTTGACCTTGTGATCCACCTGCCTCGGCCTCCCAAAGTGCTGGGATTACAGGCTTGAGCCACCACGCCAGGCCAGCTCAGAGAAGTTTCTTATTACCCACCTTCTGAAGCCTGTTTCTGTCAATTCATCAGACTCATTCTCTATCCAGCCTTGTTCCCTTTCTGATTAGGAGTTGTGATCCCTTGGAGGAAGCGAGGCATTCTGGTTTTGAGTGTTTTCATCCTTTTTGTACTGGTTTCTTCCCATCTTTGTGGATGTATTTACCTTTGGTCTTTGTAGTTGGTGCCTTTCAGATGGGGTCTCTGAGTGGATGTGCTGTTTGCTGATGATCAAGTTATTTCTTTCTGTTTCTTAGTTTTCTTTCTAACAGTCAGGACCCTCTGCTGTAGGACTGCTATAGGTCCACTCCAGGCTCGCTCTACTTGCCTAGGGCTCACCTCAGCGGCTACAGAACAGTAAGGGTTGCATCCAGGTTCTTCTTCTGCTCTCTTTGTCTCTTTGTCCCAGAAGGATACCTGCCAGATGTCAGTCTGAGCTCTCCTTTATGAGGTGACTCTTTGGATATACAGGGTCGGGGAGCTGCTTGAGGAGACCGTCTGTCCTTTATAGGAGCTCAAGTGCTGAGCTGTGAGGTCCATTCTTCCATTCAGAGCTGCTGGGCAGGTACGTTTAAGTCTACTGCAGCAGAACTCATAATAGTCTTTTTCCCCCAGGTGCTCTGTCCCAGGAAGGTAGGGCTTTATTTCTAAGTTTCTGTCATGCTACTGCCTTTTTTAAGGGATGTCCTGCCCAGCAAGGAGCAAGCCCAGTCACAGTCTGCCAGCAGAGTCATTGCTGAGCTACTGTGGGCTCCGTCCAGCTGCCATGTGAACTTCCCTGCAGCCCTGTTTATAGGGGTATAGTTAGAACTGCCACGGCAATTGTGGCCCACCTCTGTAATGGCAGACTCTCTCTGTAATGGCGGACTGCCTCAGCAATGAGGAGCTGCCTCTGTAATTGTGGACTGCCTTGGCAATGGCAGACTACCACAGCAATGGTGGACTACCTCGGTAGGGGTGGACTGCCTCGGTAATGGCAGACGCCCCACCCCCACAGAGCTGGACCATACCGGGTTCAGCTGTGCTTGCTTTGAAACTCTAAATCTAGAACATTTCAGATTGCTGGTCTTTGTAGGGGTGGGACCAGTCACCTGGCTCCCTGCCTCAGACCCCTTTTTTTTCAGTTGAACAGGCAACTCTTGTCTCCCAGGCATTCCAGTCACCAGTTGAAAAGGTGCCTGGATTTGTATAAGATTTTCACTGGAGACCTACTGCGCCAGCTGAAACAGCTATGCTGGGAGCTCCTGGCGCTTTTTTGCCCAGGAATCTCTTGGCCTGGCTCCCTATTTCAGTCCCCTTGTTTTCAGTTGAACAGGTGACTCTGTCTCCCAGGTGTTCCAGTTGCCAGTTGAAAAGGCACCCAGATTTGTGTGAGATTTTGTGCAGAGACCCACTGTGCCAGCTGAAACAGCCACGCTGGAGGCACTTTTCCGCCCAAGAATCTCGTGGCCTGGTTCAGTCCACTTTTTATCAGTTGAATGGGCAACTCTGTCTCCCAGGAGTTGAAGTTGCCTGTTGAAAGGTGCCTGGATTTGTGTGAGATTCTGTGTGGAGACCTGCTGCATCAGCTGAAACAGCGGCACTAGAGACTCAAGGTTCTTTTTTTACCCAGGAATCTCCTGGCCTAGCTCCCTATTTGAGTCCACTTTTTGTCAGTTGAACGGGCAACTCTGTTTCCCAAGTGTGCCAGTTGCCAGCTGAAATGGCACCCCGAACTCATGTGAATGTTTTCCTGTGTCTCGGAGACCCACTGCGCCAGCTGAAACAACCGCGTTGGAAAACTGTGGAGCTACTCCGCAAAAGAATCTCCTGGTCTGTGGGCAATAGAAATCCATCTGGAAATGCAGCAACCACTCACCCTCCATGCTCATGCTGAGAACTACAGTCCAGAGCTGCTCCTACTTGGTGATCTTGGATCCCGTCCACAATTTATTTTTTAATTAGAGATAAGGTCTTGCTATATTGCCAAGCTTGGTCTTAAGCTCCTGGACTCAAGCAATTCTCCTAGCTTCGTCTCTTGAATAGCTGTGACTACAGGCACATGTTACCATGTCTAGTTAAATTTCCACAATTTCTGATATTATTTTAGTCTAATTATAGAACCAAAGATAAAAATAAAAAAATAGCTCTCCGTAAAAAACTGTATGTTATCAAAATAATTGTAAGAGAAATTAAAAGAAACAATATGCGATGTGTAATAGGGTGATTCCATGATTCTTATACTAAGTCATCTGATCTATTAAAGATTCATTAAAAACAGAAGTATTATAACTCATACTCATATTATTTGCAACTCAAAGTAAAGACACATACTCAAATGAGTCTAGATAAAAATTCCTGTTTCCTCTATTGCAAGAAAGCATTCTCTAACATCATTTTTCTGTCACTATATATTTTCCAGCCCATTATTTTCAGATTCAAACTCTCAAAGTATTTATCAACTATTTCTTTTTTGCCAAGTAGAAAAAAATAAAAATTAACCCCTCCTATTTCTTTGAAATGGTTATCTCTAATAAAGTTTTTAACACAAACATAAAAAAAGATAGGTAGACAACTGCTAGATTTAAAAGATAATAATATAAAAATGAGATTGAGAGTGAGAAAATTAATTTCACAAGTGAGTACTTTACCACAGAACCAGATTCAGACTTATCCTCCGGCACAGGCTTTGCACCAACCTCCGGTCTCTGGAGACACCTATAGAGAAAAACAATACAATGAAAATGAGCAGGTTCATTTCTTAAACGAAAACAAACACTGTCAGTCTATACATACATGTCCCCTCCCAAAAAATGGTAAAAACCAAATCTGAGGAAGGTCAGTTACCTGTACATTAAATAACACTTTTTGACATAATTTAGATACGGCCTTTGTTTTAGAAAACATTTTAGTTCCCTATTTCTGCCTCCACCGCTGCCAACCTATGAAATGCCCAATGAACTCTCACGCTTAAACCCATAACATATACTGACAGGCAATACAATGGCACAGACAGACAATACTTTGTCCTTACAAATTATCTACCCTAAAAGCTAAACTGAAAATCCAATTGATATCTGACAGAACTTTTGCTAAAGAACTGGAATAAACCTGACAACCTATAAGAAGGTAGAAAATGCACTGTCTCTTCTCCATTGACTTTTCTGATTCAAAGACTAATCTGTGTCACTGGAAAATGGGAGTCTTGGATCTTCAGCATGTAAACAGTTCCGAGTAATTCTGTTTACCCAAGACGACTACATGGAGCCCCCTGAAACACTAGACATGTTTGAAAGCTGAGTGTACAAAAATCAAAATATAAAGGTTTACGTTGTTATTGGGAATAACCTTCACAGAAGATTAAAACATTAAAAATTATAAAATCCAATTACTATTATATATATCCCGCCTTATTCAGGTCCACAAAAACCAGCAAGATTAAAAATCTTCATAGACACTCACACCCAAGACAGACTGCTGGAAAAGTCTCCCTACTGAATACTTATAGCTCCATTTTGTTCATTACTATCTAATTATCTTCTTTCCAATAGGCTCCCACTTCTGGATCCCTCTTCTGCAGGGATCCATGGCAGTATCCAATCTACACCTTCAGCCTAGGAAAGCCCAGATTCCTAAAAAGATAAGCTAAAGTAATTGAGATTAGGAGTTCTCTATTCCTCTACTGCTAGAAAGTAATTAAGTCTCAGTCAAACATCCCAAACACAGGGATGTTATCAACTACCCAAATGAAGCTTCATTGCCAATTTACCAACCAATCCTACCTTTGATCTAACCTACAGGTACATGAGAGAATTGAAAAAAGAGGCAAAAAAAAAAAAAAAAAAGACATCTACCCTGGGTCACAGATCTCTATAGTTAAGCAATCTCCAGGTTGCTCGTTCGTGAGGGGTTCTAAGCCCTCTGTAAGCTATAGTGGAAGAAGATAATACCACATTCCTATTTGCTGGAAAGAGTCCACAGACTATTTCCAGTGGCTCAAATTCTTTTACCATTTTTTCAAAAAAAACTTAAAAGTTTGGCAATTCCTCCAGTTAAACAAACAAAAGGTAGGATCATTTCAGAACTCCTTGAATGCCCTATTTTAATATGTCTTTCTTGATAACGCCCAACATCATGTGTTATCAACTACTTATTTGTATTTCTTCAAATTTAGCTGTGCCCTGCAAATTCCATTCTTATCTACTTTCATTGAGTTCAACAGCTCATTCCATTCTCATGCTCTTCCACTGTGTTCACTAGAGCCACTCCCTCTTTCTGTTACAAAAACACTGAATGACAAAATGATGTAAAAGAAGACTGCATTTTGAATTAAGAAATCTGAGTGCAAATCTCATTTCTGTCATTTACTATATCCAACTGAATAATTTCATCTCTTTGAGTTTCAGATTCTCCACCTGAACAACCACTTAATCAGGATGTTAAACACAGATTCAAGTACTACAGGGTATTTTGTTTAGTCTCCAGGATTTCTTAAAATTCTCAAATTCTGTGCCCTTCTCATTTTGTCTGTAGAAAAATGGGGAATATTTAACTACCATACAGGAAAACAATAATAGAAAGTAATAAACCCTAAGCAATGCAGAAGAGAAAGTAAAAAGAAATCAAGAAAATATTATTAAAATGTCATAGAAAGAAAAAAATAAATCCAGAAAACAAGAAACAGCTTCATCCAACTAGGCAGGGTACTCAAAGCGAAAACCAAACTGGGTAGTCAGTAAGTGGAGAAGTGAATTCTAAATATGCTTTCAATATATGCTAACTATAGTCAATATAAGATAGACTATATGTAGATATTCTCCATGTACACTAAAACGATTTCTCTCTTGGACTGACCTGGTCTTGCTTAGGAAAAACCTAGGGTCCTTTGGCCACAGATAACTCATATCTGCCTTCAAAACTTTGATTGTTAAACAAACAAACAACAAAACACGTACTGGTTACCAGTGTAATTTCCAAACATATTTGGACAAACTTTTGGAGTAGCCAAGCTTCTAAGGACCAGTATAAAGAGAATAAATACATAACAAAATGTGACTTTCTTAATTAGTCTAATTTAAACCAGTAACTTGATCCCATTGCTGCATACATGTCTAACCATGTATGCTTAGGCGCAAAGTGATGTGAAAAGCCAGGCAGGATGCTTCATAAATCATGGGTTGGCTACCTGTTAACTATGGAATCATGACCCAACATTTCAAACTCTTTCGACCAGAGTTGCTTAATCAGTAAGAAAGCAATAATAGCACAAATACTTCGTAAAGCTGTGTGAAGATGACAAGAGATGATAAACCATGTAAACCGGTGTCTAGTACAGACTAGAATACTAAATGGATACTAGTTTCCTATTCTTTCTATTCACTTAGATAACATATCACTTTAAAAAATCTGTGAAATCATACCTGTTTAAATGCTCCTCAACAGCAGGATGCACTTAAAAAAAAGTAAAATATATTTTAAACCAACAATAGAAAACCACAGAATATTGAAAACATAAAAGAGCACAGCAACTTGTTCCTATAATCTCAGCTAGTCAGAAGGCTGAGACAGAAGTATCACTTCAGGAGCCCAGAAGTTTGAGACCAGCCTGGGCAACACAGCAAGTGCCTATCTTTATAAAAATAATCATGCAGGCTGCTTGCAGTGGCCCACCCCTGTAATCCCAGCACTTTGGGAGGCCAAGGAGGGTGGTTCACTTGAGGTCAGCAGATGAAGACAAGCCTAGCCAACATGGTGAAACCTCGTGTGTACTAAAAATACAAAATGTAGTCAGGTGTGGTGGCTCAAACCTGTCATATGCCTATTTCTAAAATACTCTGTGTCAACAACAATGTGGATACGATACGCCAAGTGATGAGGACCAATGTGATCTAAAATCAGAGGAGCAGCTCATACACCTGGGAATCAGTGTCAAAGCAGGTGGTACTATTCCCGCATGTCTTTCATGCAAGACATCAGAAGAATTTATACCATTGGACTACAAATATTCATCATGCTGTTTAACTTGCTGGACAACTGAGTAGGTACCCAATTACAATGACACTTCAGTTGAATGTATATTTCATGTCTCTACAGGGAAGGGTCCTAAATAGATCAGCTTGGATATACGTTTGGTGAATACTGAGATGATATTCATTATTACTCACACCCATGTGGTGTAATAATTTTCAACATTTCTGGTATCCTCTAGTTTAGCTTTCTGAAAGTTTCTTCACACACTCATGCAACACGATGTAACACATAAGCCTCAATAAACAGTATCAGCCTTTATCAGTTTTGACATACTTCTACTAAATAAAAGGACTACAAGCATTAGATATTAATAAGCTTTTACGTTCAGATATCACTCCAATATTCATTGAAAATAACCATTTTGGAGTCAGTTAATGAATTCAACATAATTTTTGTTTCTAAAATAGTCTTCTTTGAGGTATCATGTTATCCTCTAAAGAAATTTCATTAAATAGCTATTTTATCCAAGAGTTAGCTCCTTCATGAACAGAGCCAATGTATTCATATTCAAGTTTATCTTATTTTTAATAATTAAAATCAACAAAACATCTATCTTTGATGCCTAAAAGCAACAAAGAGGAGTAATGAGTCACTGTGGATTATCCCAATTCTAGCACTCTCTCCTCTTTCCAGTAGTCTCTGAAGCAGCCAAAATGAAATCATCTTTTACGCAAATGTTCTATATAAATCAAAAATGAGTTCACCCACGTTTCCTCAGCAGAAACCCCTAAATTACATACAGAACCTTTTCTCTTCCCTCCTTGCTGCCTCACAATCCCTCTTCCTTGGAGAAAATAATTATTACATCAGTGTTCTCATTAGTTCTCTCATTCTACAGTGTTTATGGGTTATTACAATCACTTCTTCCCTCTGGTTTCAGCTATGCAACCTGTTGTCTATCATTTCTATTACTACATCTCTTTTTCCTTTCCTTCCTGAAGAAAACATGCTGTAGAATTAAAGCAAAATGATGCTGTCCCTGGAGCTTGCTATGTCTTGAATTGCTCTTCAGAGGTTCTTCTATTTAATTTCATCGTAGAAGAGTTTATAATCGTACTACTCAGATCACAGACAAGGACCAGCAGCATCACTGGCACTAAATAACTTATTACAAATGCAAAATCTCAGGCTTCCTAATCAGAATGCACAGTTTCCACGAGCCCCCTGCTGATTTATTTGGAAAGGGAAGTTCCCTGTTATCTTGAGTGAATATGGCATTAAATGTGTATTGCAAAAATACCTGTCCCAGATTTTGATCCATCCTTTATTTCTGTGGCTATATTAGAAACAGGATCTTTCTTGTCACTTGTAGCCTGAATGGGATTTGAAACACAATAATCAGCACATAAAGTATATTTCACAGACTATACAGTTAATACTTCAAAATACAAATCAGAGTGTAATTACCGTCAAGGCCAGTTGTTTCTGAGAAGACACTGAAAAGAAAAAGGGATACATAATCATATGTAAAAATGCTAAAAATATCCATACATTCATGCAGTGTTAGCATCAACCTGTATTTTCCTGCCTGTAGTAGTGTAGGCTTTGATGTGTTATACTTTCTGTCTTGGGACAGGAACATGAAACACACTGAAGAAAACAGGAATATAGGCTTCACAAATTCCAACATAATATAATTTGTCATATTTCTGTTTCTAAAATAAGAGAGTATCAGTAGCAATATGAATATCCTTAGTGATGAGGACCAATGTGATCCAAAATTAGAGGAGCAACTCATACACCTGGGAATCAAAGTCAAAGCAGGTGGTACATACTCCCGCATATCTTTCATGCAAGACATCAGAAGGATTTATACCATTATACTACAAGCATTCATCATGCTCTTTCACTTGCCCAATAACTGAGAAGGTACACAATTACAATGACACTTCGGTTCAATGTACACTTCACGTCTCTTCAGTGGAAGTGTCCCTAATTGATCAGCTAGGATATATGGTTGGTGAATCGCAGTAAATAATATTCATTATTTCTCATGTCCGTGTGGTGCAATAATTAGCCAGCGTTTCTCATATCCTGTTGTTTAGCTTTCCAAAAGTTTCATGATCCACCCATGACAAGGTATTATATAAAAACCTCAATGAAAAGTATCATCAATTATCAATTTTGACATACTTCTACAAAATAAAACTGCCACATTAGATATTAATATGCTTTCACATTCGAAAATCACTCCAATATGCATTGAAAAAACCCATTTTAGAGTAAATTAATGAATTCAACAATACTTTTATTTCTAAAAGTCTTGAACTGCCATATTATTTTCTAAAGAATTTTCATTAAATAGCTATTTTTTTCCAAGAGTTACCTACTTGAACAACAAAGGTAATGTCTTCATATTCAAGTTCATCTCATTTTTATAATTAAAATAGAAAAATTTTCTCTGCGGCCGAACAGCAACAAAGAGAAGTAATGAGTCAGTGTGGTTTATCTCAATTCCAGCACTCTTTCTGCTTCCAGTAGTTCCTGGAGCATCCACAGTAAAATCTTCTTTTATGCAAATATTCTAAATGCATCTGAAGAGAGTTCACTCAGGTTTCGTCAGCAGAATCCTCAAAATTACATGAATAACTACTTCCTTTCCCTCCTTCCTGCCTTACAATCTCTCTTCCTTAAGGAAAGTAATTACTACATCAGTGGTGTCCTTAGTTGTTCTACAGTGTTTATGGGTTATTAGGATCACTTCTTCCCTCTGCTTTTTGTCATATAGTCTGATGTCTATACTTTCTATTACATCATCTCTTTCTCTTTTCTCTCTTGATGAAAACATGCTGTAGAATTAAAGCAAAATCATGCTGTCCCCTGAGTCTGGTATGTCTTCAACTGCTCTTTAATGGTTCTTCTTCCCAATTTCAACGTAGGGAAGTCTATCTTACTACTCAGATCAAGGCCAAGGAGCAAACATATCAGCGTCAACCAAGAAATTATTACTAATGCAGAATCCCAGGCCCGCTCAATCAGAATGTGCAGCTTCACTGAGCCTTCCACTGATTTATTCAGAAAACAGAACTTCTCTTCAATCTTGAGTGAACATGACATTAAATGTGTATTGTAAAATTACCTGTCCCAGATTTGTCTCCATCCTTTATTTCTCTGACTTTAACTAAAACAGATGTTTTCTTGTCACTTGTAGCCTGGATGGGATTTGAAACAAAATAATCAATACATTAAGTATATTTCATAGCCTATAGAGTTAATAATTCAAAATATAAATGAGAGTGTAATTACCCTCAAGGCTGTTTGTTTCAGAAATGACACTGAAAAGAAAAAGGAATACATAATCAATCATATGTAAATGCAATAAAGTTAACCATACATTCATGCAGTGTTAGCATCAAGCTTTATCCCCCTGCCTGTATTAGCGTAGGCTTTGATGTTTCATACTTTGTGTCTTAGAACAGGAACATGACAGAAATACACTGAAGAGAACAGAATTACAGGTGTCATGAAATACACACTTATAATTTCAAACGTGATATTATTCTTTATATGTCTATTACCACAATAAAATAGTGTCACTGTGCATGTGTATATGCCGAATGATGAGAAAAAAATGTGATCTAAAATCAGAGGAGCACCTCATAAGTCTGGGAATCAATGTCAAAGCAGGTCGTAAATGCTCCTGCATGTCATGTCTTTCATGCAAGACATCAGAAGGATTTATACCATTATACTACAAATATTCATCATGCTCTTCTACTTGCCTAATAATTGAGCAGGTTCACAATGACTATGACACTTTAGTTGAATGTACACTTCACAACTCCTCAGTAGAAGTGTCCCAGAATGATCAGCTTGGATACAGGTTTGGTGAATCCTAGTATATGATATTCTTTATTTCTCATACCCATGTGGTATAATAATGTGCCTACATTTCTTGTATCCTCTAGTTTAACCTTCAGAAATTTTCTTCGTTCACTCATGTGAAGAAGATATAATATAAAAACCTTATCAAAAATATAATAAATGATCAAATTTGACATACTTATACAAAATAATGTTGCTACCAGGATTAGATATGAATAAGCTTTTCCATTTCAAACTCACTCCAATACTGACTGCAAATAAACTATTTAGGAGTCAATTAATGATTTCAACATTACTTTCTTTCCAATATGGTCTGGTTGGAAGCATCACGTTTTTTGCTAAAGAATTTTTATTAAATTGTTATCTGATCCAAAAGTTAGCTCCTTGTAAAACAAAGTGAATATATGTATATTCATGTTTATCTCATTTGAATAACTAATATCAACAAAACACATCTCTGTTACCCAAGAGTAACAAAGACTAGTATAGACAAAGACAGATAGACTATTAAAAACATAAAAGGACACGGTGGCTTGTTCCTATAATCTCAACTACTCAGAAGGCTGAGACAGAAGTATCACTTAAGAAGGCCAGGAGTTTCAGACCAGCCTGGGCAACATAGCAAGAATCAATCTTTGTAAAAATAATCATGCAGGCCGGACATGGTGGCCAAAGCTTGTAATCCCAGCACTTTGGGAGGCAGAATCACTTGATGTCAGGAGATCGAGATCAGCCTGGCCAACATAGTGAAACCCCATCTCTACGAAAAATACAAAAATTAGCTAGGTGTGGTGGCACACGCCTGTAGACCCAGCTACTAGGGAGGTGGAGGCAGGAGAATCACTTGATTCCAAGAGATGGAAGTTGCAATGAGCCAAATCTGTGACATTGCACTCCAGCATGGGCAGCAGAAAGTATGAGACAGTGTCTTAAAATTAAAAAAGAAAAAAAGAGAGAAAAGAAAAAAGAAGAATCAGTAAATAAGATAATTGAAAGGCTCAAACAGCTTACAATTTTGTAAAGAATCTTCATAACGAATCCTCTTTATTTCACGTGGTTTTCCAATAATCTAGAAGAAAAACACAATCACTTTAAGAATAACATGCAGCAAGTTAAAATAATTACAATAGCAACCATTACTACATGATCTAACACAAAATGTACAGGTTTTGAAGTCACACATAGGTAGATTCAAATTTTCAGTCTACCATTTACTTATCTACATATTCTAATGCCATGATGATTATGATTCGTGGTACAGATAGTCTCAAAATGTTACTCCTTTCAACCCTAGTTGATTATTACATAAATACTATGATACTCATTAGTTTCTTTTCCTATCCACAACAACCTGGACAAAAATTTACTCATATGTAATTCAGGGTATCACTGAATAGGAATAATAATACAAAAGTAAATTAACTACGTTATTTTTCAAAATATCTATGCATTATATCTATCTGTGGGAATTACATTTTGTGGGGAAAAAATGTGAGCCTGTGGTTGTTAGTAGCACTATGCTTAAATGCGCTGGCATTGAAAACAGTACAATTTGCCTGCGTTCTCTGTGTTAAAAGCTAAGAACAAATTATTGTATAACTTCAGCTCCTTCCGAAAAAGGGAGAACAAAACAACCAACCACCTTATAGAGCAATGATTGACGAATGAAAGCCACACAGAGCTGCTAAAGAGAAAGCTGTAATAAGTGTGCTGAAAATAGAAACAGAGGTGAAATGAAAAACAGACACTAAAGACATGTGTTCTGCAAGAAAAAAGTTAAGACGGAGGTAAATCATTTTTAAACAAAGAGGAAGGACAGAGAAACAAAGAGAGAGAGAGACATGACCAGTCAATCAAACGTGAACTTAAAAGAAAAGCTTGTGTTCGTAATATAAGCACAAGAATACTAGTTAGCATTTACTCTACAGTTTGTTTTGTGTCAATACTTATGTAACAAAGAGTTTAATTCATTTACTATAAAATAAGACATCACAAGAGTTAAACATGATCATCCACCTGAATGCTGAAACATTCTTACTACAGAGAGAGAGAAAGAAAAAAATTAAGTTCCATAAACTTTCCACCTGGAGATAGAATTTTTATTCACAATTCCACAGAGTAATGTATGCCTTGAAAATATATATACTTAGTAGAATATGATTGGGGCTTTAAAAGTTTAAGAAAATTTAATTTAAAATCCTAATCCAAGCTTCCAGTTGGAAGATACTAGAAAGCATGCTGTATCCACCTGTCCAATTCCTATCCATCTTTTCTAAGTTTTATTTTCTTCCATATGATGTATTTTTTAAACAGAAGTCATGTAAATTTACACACTGTCAACCTTAGAAGAAAAGATGAACTGAAAACATTCTAGAAATTTAACAGATTTAATTATTAGCTATATTATGCATATTTGTTAACTATAACATTCTGTTATATAAAAGCCCATTTGCCTGTTTGTTTATTCACATTAAAACTGTTACAATGTTTTTTATATGCAAGATATTATTCTAGGTATTCCAGGATACATAGAAATATGTTCTGTATTTCAAGTGGCTCATAGTAATGTACGAGCTTTATAATTACTTTTTCAAGAACAAAGCACAAAAGCCTCTGAAATTTTAAATTTAGAATGTGATACAAGGACCCTGAGTGCATATTTTTTAAAATTATAATGCAAAAACCTTGTGAAATTAAAATCTTACCATAAGAATATGAAGTCTCTGCTTATCAAACAGGTTGTTTTTTTTTAACAAAATGTATATTCTTCAAATATATGAAGAGTTAAAAGTATATTCTTAATTATAAAAATAATTAGAAAGCACAGTGTAAATTCTCTGTAATACAGATTTCAGAACAGAACTTAAATTTCTAATCTCCCACATTTTTTTTTTAATTAGAGATAATGTCCTGCATGGACTCAAGCAATTCTCCTACCTTCATCTCTTGCATAGCTGGGACTAGAGGCACATGTTACCATATCTACTTAAATTTCCACAAGTTTCTTGTATTCTTTTAGTCTAATTATAGAACCAAAGGTAAAAATAAAAAAAATTGCACACTGCAAAAACTGTATGATATCAAAGTAAATGCACAAGAAATTAAAAGAAACTATATGCTATGTGTAACAGGGTGATTCCATGATTCCTGTAATAAGTCATCTAATCTATTAAACATACATTTAAACAGAAGTATTATTACTTATACTCATATTATTTATAACTCAAAATAAAGACACTGACTAAAATAGGCCTAGACCAAAATTCCTATTTTCTCTATTGCAAGAAGGCATTCTCTAATATCATTTTTCTGTCAGTATATACTTTCAGATCCCAACTCTCAAAGTAATTATCAACTATTTGTTATTTGTCAAGTAAACAAAATAAAAACCCCTCCTATTTCTTTCAAATGATTATCTCTAGTAAAATTTTTAATACAACCATAAAACAATGACAGGTAGACAACTGCTAAATTTTAGAAAATAATAATATACAAAAAGAGATTCAGAGTGAGAATTTAATTTCACAAGTGAGTACTTTACCAGACAATCAGAATCAGAATCAGAATCACACTCTTGCACAGGCTTGACAAAAACAACCGGTTTGAAGAGACGCCTACAGAGGAAAAAGATACAACAAAAATGAGCAGGTTCATTTCTTAACACAAAACAAAAATTGTCAGTCTATACATCTATGTTCCCTCCCCCCCCCAAAAAAAAATGGTAAAACAAAGTCTGAGGAAGGTCAGTTACCTGTACATAATATTTCTTTATGTAATTGAGATATGGCCACTGTTTTAGAAAACATTTTAGTTACCTATTTCTGCCTCCACCTCTCCCAAACTATGAAATATCCAATGAACACTTGCCCTTAAACCCATAACAAATACTGACAGACAATATAATGGCACAGCCAGACAATACTTTGTCCTTACAAATTATCTACCTGAAAGAGTAAACTGAAAATCCAATTGATATCCTACAGAACTTTTGCTAAAGCACTGGAATAAACCTGACAATCCTATAACAAGGTAGAAAATGACTGTCTCATCTCCGTTATCTATTTCTGATTCAAAGACTAATCTGTGTCACTGGAAAATGGGAGTCATGGATCTTCAGCATGTACATAGTGCCCATTGATTCTATTTACCCTAGAACACTACACGGAGCCCCCTGAAACACTACACATGTTTGAAAGCTGAGTGTACAAAAATCAAAATACAAAGGTTTACATTGCTACTGGGAATATTCTCCAAAGAAGATTAAAACATTAAAAATTATAAAATCTAATTACGGTTATTATATAGATCCTACCTTATTCAGGTTAACAAAAACCAGCAAGATTAACAATCTTCACAGACACTCACACCCAAGACAGACTACTGGAAAAGTCTCCCTACTGAATAGTTACAGCTCCATTTCATTCATTATTATCTAATTATCTTCCTTCCCATAGGCTCCCACTTCTGGATCCCTCTTCTGCAGGGATCCATGGCAGTATCCAATCTATACCTTCAGCCTAGAAAACCCCTGATTCCTAAGAAGACAAGCTAAAGTAACTGAGATTAGGAGCTCTCTGTTCCTCTGCTGCTGGAAAGTAAGTCTCAGTCAACCACCCCAAGCATCAGAATGTTACCAACTAACCAACTGAAGCTTCATTACCGATTTGCCAACCAATCCTACCATTGCCCTAACCTACAGGTACATGAGAGAACTGAGAAAAGAGGCAGAAAAAAAATTACATCCAGCCTGGGTCACAGATCTATGTACTTAAGCAATCTCCAGCTCCCTAATTTGTGAGGTGTTCTAAGCCCTCTGTAAGCTTGCGTGGAGGAAGATACCACATTCCTATATGCTCCAGAGACTCTTTCCAGTGGCTCAAATTCTTTTAATATTTTTCAATAAAAACTTTAAAGTTTGGCAGTTCCTCCAGTTAAACAAACAAAAAGGTAGCAGCCTTTTCAGAACTCCTTGAATGCCCTATTTCAATATGCCTTTCTTGATAACTCCCAACATCCCGTGTTTCCAACTTCTTAAGTGTTTGTTTCTCTTCAAATTTAGCTGTGCCCTGCAAATTCCATTCCTATCTACTTTCATTGAGTTCAACACCTCATTCCATTCTCATCCTCTTCCACTGTATTCACGAGAGCCACTCCCTCTTTCTGTTATAAAAACACTCAATGACAAAATGATGTAAAAGAAGATTGGGTTTTGATTAAGAAACCTGAGTGCAAATCTCATTTCTGCCATGTACTATATCCAACAGAATAATTTCATCTCTTTGAGTTTCAGATTATCCACCTGAACAACCACTTAATCAGGATGTTAAACACAGATTCAAGTACTACAGGATATTTTGTTTAGTCTCCAGGATTTCTTAAAATTCTGAAATTCTGTGCCCTTCTCATTTTGCCTATAGGAAAATGGGAAATATTTAGCTACCATACAGGAAAACAATAATAGAAAGTAATAAACCCTAAGCAATGCAGAAGAGAAAGTAAAAAGAAATCAAGAAAATATTATTTCAATGTCATAGAAAGAAAAAAATAAATCCAGAAAACAAGAAACAGCTTCATCCAACTAGGCAGGGTATTCAAAGCGAAAACCAAACTGGGTAGTCAGAAAGTGGAGAAGTGAATTCTAAATATGCTTTCAATATATGCTAAATATAGTTAATATAACATAGACTATATGTAGATATTCTCCATGTACAGTAAAATGATTTCTATCTTAGATTGACCTGGTCTTGCTTAGGAAAAATCAAGGGTCCTTTGGCCACAGATAACTCATACCTGCCTTCAAAACTTTGATGGTTGAACAACCTGGTCTTGCTTAGGAAAAATCAAGGGTCCTTTGGCCACAGATAACTCATACCTGCCTTCAAAACTTTGATGGTTGAACAACAACAACAACAAAAACAGGTACTTGTTACCACTGTAAATTCCAAACATATTAAGACAACCTTTTGGAGTAGCCAAGCTTCTAAGGAACACTCCCTAAAGAGAGTTCATATATAACAAAATGTGACTTTCTGAACTGATCTGATTTAAACCAGTACCTTGATCCCATTACTGCCTACGTCACTATCCATCTATGCTTAGGTGCAGTGATATGAAAAGCCAGGCAGGATGCTTGTCAGATCACGGGTTGGCTACCTGATAACTAAGGAATTATAAGCCAACATTTCAACCTCTTTCAACCAGTTGCCTAATCAGTAAGAAAACAATAATAACACAAATACTTTGTAAAGCTGTGTGAAGATGACATGAGATGATAAATGTGAAGCATGTAATATGGTGTCTAGCACAGACTAGAACACTAAACAGATACTAGTTTCTATTCTCGCTATTCACTTAGTTAACATATCACTTTTAAAAATCTGTGAAATCATACCTGTTTAAATGCTTGTCAACAGCAGGATGCACTTTTAAAAAAAAAGAGTAAAATGCATTTTAAATCAACAATAGAAAACTATAGAATATTGAAAACATAAAAGAGCACAGGGGCTTGTTCCTATAATCTCAGCTAGTCAGAAGGCTGAGACAGAAGTATCACCTGAGGAGCCCAGGAGTTTGAGACCAGCCTGGGCAACATAGCAAGCTTCTATCTTTACAAAAATAATCACAGAGTCTGGGGGTGGTAGCTCACGCCTGTAATCCCAGCACTTTGGGAGGCCGAAGAGGGTGGAACATTTGAGGTCAGGAGATGAAGACAAGCCTGGCCAACGTAGTGAAATCTCGTCTTTACTAAAAACACAAATAGTAGTCAGGTGTGGTGGTGGACACCTGTCATACGTCTATTTCTAAAATACTCAGTGTCAATAGCAATGTGGACATGCCAAGTGATGAGGACTGAGATGATCTAAAATCAGAGGAGCAACTCATACATCTAGGAATCAATGTCAAGGCGGGTGGTACTACTCCCACATGTCTTTCATGCAACACATCAGAAGGATTTATAGCATTATACTACAAATATTCATCATGCACTTTAACTTGCCCAACAACTGAGAAGGTACACAATTACAATGACACTTCAGTTGAACGTATACTTCATGTCTCTACAAGGAAGGGTCCTAAATAGTTCAGCTTGGATATATGTTTGGTGAATAGTTGCAGATAATATTCATTATTTCTCACACCCATGTGGTGTATTAATTTTCCTACATTTCTGGTATCCTCTAGTTTAGCTTTCTGGAAGTTTCTTCACATACTCATGCAACACAGTAAGACACGTAAGCATCAATAAATGGTATTATCCTTTATCCGTTTTGACATACTTCTACTAATTAAAACTGCTACAAGCAATAAATACTAATAAGCTTTTACATTCAGATATCACTCCAATATTCATTGAAAATAACCATTTTTGGAGTCAGTTAATGAATTTGACATAATTTTTGTTTCTAAAAGAGTCTTCCTTGAACTATCATGTTATTCTCTAAAGAAATTTTATTAAACAGCTATTTTATCCAAGAATTAGCTCCTTGAACAACAGAGTCCATGTATTCATATTCAAGATTATCTTACGTTTAATAATTAAAATTAACAAAACACCTATCTCTGATGCCTAATAGCAACAAAGAGGAGTAATGAGTCACTGTGGTTTATCCCAATCCTAGCACTCTTTCCTCTTTCCACTAGTTTCTGGAGCAGCCAAAATCAAATCCTCTTTTACACAAATATTCTAAATAAATCCAAAGTGAGCTCACTCACGTTTCCTCAATAGAAACCCCTAAATTACACACATAACCTTTTCTTTTCCCTCCTTGCTGCGTCACAATCCCTCTTCCTTGGAGAAAATAATTATCACAGCAGTGGTCTCATTAGTTCCCTCATTCTACAGTGTTTATGGGTTATTACGTTCACTTCTTCCCTCTGGTTTCAGCAATACAACCTGATGTCTATCACCTCTATTACTACGTCTCTTTTTCCTTTCCTTCCTGAAGAAAACCTGCTGTAGAATTAAAGCAAAATTATGCTGTCCCCTGAGCTTGCTATCTCTTGAATTGCTCTTCAGAAGTTCTTCTATTTAATTTCGATGTAGAGAAGTTTATAATGATACTACTCAGATCACTGACAAGGACCAGCAGTATCAGTGGCACCAAATAACTTATTACAAATGCAGAAACTTAGGCTTCCTGAAACAGAGTGTACAGTTTCAATTAGCCCCCTGGTGATTTATTTGGGAAGGGAAGTTCCCTTCTATCTTGCATGAACTTGACATTAAATGTGTATTGTAAAATTACCTGTCCCAGATTTTGGTCCATCCTTTATTTCTGCGGCTATATTCGAAACACAGTCTTTCTTGTCACTTGTAGCCTGAATGGGATTTGAAACAATATAATCAACACATAAAGTATATTTCATAGACTAATTTCATAGAACAGTTAATAGTTCAAAATACAAATGAGAGTGTAATTACCTTTGAGGCCAGTTGTTCCTGAGAAGACACTGAAAAGAAAAAGGGATACATATCAATCATATGTAAATATGATAAAGGCATCCATAAATTGATGCAGTGTTACCATCAACCTGTATTTTTCTGCTTGTATTTAGTGTAGGCTTTGATGTTTTATACTTTGTGTCTTGGGACAGCAAGATGACAGAAACATACTGAAGAAAACAAGAATACAGGTTTCACAATATACACACTTACAATTTCAAACATCATGTAATTTGTCATATATATTTCTAAAATAAGTATCAATAGCAATGTGGATATGCTGAGCGATGAGGACCAATGTGATCTAAAATCAGAGGAGCAACTCATACACCTGGGAATCAATGTCAAAGCAGGTGGTACATACTCCCACGTGTCTTTCATGCAAGACATCAGAAGGATTTATACCATTATACTACAAGCATTCATCATGCTCTTTCACTTGCCCGATAACTGAGAAGGTACACAATTACAATGACACTTCAGTTCAGTGTACACTTCACATCTCTTCAGTGGAAGTGTCCCTAATTGATCAGCTAGGATATATGGTAGGTGAATCCCAGTAAATAATATTTATTATTTCTCACATCCATGTGGTGCAATAATTATCCCACGTTTCTCATATCCTGTTGTTTAGCTTTCCCAAAGTTTCATGGTCCACTCATGGCAACAAGGTATTATATAAAAACCTCAATGAAAAGTATCATCAATTATCAATTTTGACATACTTCTACAAAATAAAACTGCCACAAGCATTAGATATTAATGCACTTTTACATTTGAAAATCACTACAATATGCATTGAAAAAACCTATTTTAGAGTAAATTAATGAATTCAACAATACATTTATTTCTAAAAGTCTTCTTTGAAGTATCATATTATTTTCTAAAGAATTTTCATTAAATAGCTATTTTATCCAAGAGTTAGCTCCTTAAACAACAAAGACGATGTATTCATATTCAAGTTTATCTCATTTTTATAACTAAAACAAAAAAAAATGTATCTCTGTTGCCTAACCATAACAAAGAGGAGTTAAGAGTCAAGTGTGGTTTATCTCAATTTCAGCACTCTTTCTGCTTCCAGTAGTTCCTGGAGCAGCCACAGTCAAATCTTCTTTTATGCAAATATTCTAAATGCATCTGAAGGGAGCTCACTCAAGTTTCCTCAGCATAATCCCCAAAATTACATGAATAACTTTTTCTTTTCCCTCCTTCCTGCCTCACAATCTCTCTTCCTTAAGGAAAGTAATTACTCCATCAGTGGTGTCCTTAGTTGTTGTTCTACAGTGTTGATGGGTTATTACGATCACTTTTTCCTTCTGCTTTTTGGGATGTGGTCTGATGCCTATAATTTCTATTACTTCATCTCTTTCTCTTTCCCCTCTTGATGAAAACATCCTGTATAATTAAAGCAAAATTATGCTGTCCCCTGAGTCTGGTATGTCTTCAACCGCTCTTTAATGGTTCTTCTTCCCAATTTCAATGTAAGGAAGTCTATAATCTTACTACTCGGATCAAGGCCAAGGACCAGTAGTATCAGCATCAACTGAGAAATTATTACTAATGCAGAATCCCAGGCCCGCTCAATCAGAATGTGCAGCTTCACCGAGCCTTCAAAAAATAGAAGTTCTGATTTATTCAAAAAATGGAAGTTCTCTTCAATCTTGAGTGAACATGACATTAAATGTGTATTGTAAAATTACCTGTCCCAGATTTTGGTCCATCCTTTATTTCTGTGGCTATATTCGAAACACAGTCTTTCTTGTCACTTGTAGCCTGAATGGGATTTGAAACAAAATAATCAACACATAAAGTATATTTCATAGACTATACAGTTAATAGTTCAAAATACAAATGAGAGTGTAATTACCTTTGAGGCCAGTTGTTCCTGAGAAGACACTGAAAAGAAAAAGGGATATATAATCAGTCATATGTAAATGCGATAAAGTTAACCATACATTCATGCAGTGTTAGCATCAAGCTTTATCCCCCTGCCTGTATTAGCGTAGGCTTTGATGTTTCATACTTTGTGCCTTGGAACAGGAACATGACAGAAATACACTGAAGAGAACAGAATTACAGGTGTCATGAAACATATACTTATAATTTCAAATGTGATATTATTCTTTATATGTCTATTACTACAATAAAAGAGTGTCATTGTGCATGTGGATATGCCAAGTGATGAGGAAAAAATGTGATCTAAAATCAGAGGAGCAACTCATACATCTGGGAATCAATGTCAAAGTAGGTGGTAAATGCTCCTGCATGTCATGTCTTTCGTGCAAGACATCAGAAGGGTTTGTACCATTATACTAAAAATATTCATCATGCTCTTCTACTTGCCTGTTAAAATTGAGTAGGTGCACAATGACTATGACACTTTAGTTGACTGTACACTTCACAGCTCCTTATTGGAAGTGTCCCACAATGATTAGCTTGGATATAAGTTTGGTGAATCCTAGTATATAATATTCTTTATTTCTCATACCCATGTTGTATAACAATGTGCCTACATTTCTTGTATCCTCTAGTTTAATCTTCAGAAATTTTCTTCATTTCACTCATGGCAAGAAGATATAACATACAAACTTCATCAAAATATAATAAATTATCAAATTTGACATACTTATACAAAATAAAATTTCTACAGGGATAGATATGAATAAGCTTTTACATTTGAAAATCATTCTAATACTCATTGAAAATAAACCTTTTAGGAGTAAATTAATGAATTGAACATTATTTTTGTTTCCAAAATAGTCTAGTTTGAAGTATGCTATTCTCTAAAAAATTTTTATTAAATTGCTATTTCATCCAAAAGTTAGCTTCTCGAGAAACACAGTGAATGTATGTATATTCATCTTTATCTCATTTGAATAACTAATATCAACAAAACATGTATCTCTGATGCCCAACAGTAAATAAGAGTAGTAATGAGTTACTGTGATTTATCCTAATTCTAGCACTCTTTCCTGCTTCCAGTAGTTCCTGGAGCAGCAAAAATCAAACCACCCTTTATGCAAATACTCTAAATACATCTGAAGTGAGTTCATTTATACTTAAGAGTCATAATTTTAAAAATCATTTTCTTTTTACTCCTGAAGTCTCCTGATATACCTACATTTTCTGAGTTCAGCAGTTCAGCACTCTTGCCATCTGTTTGTCCAACTTTGCAAAAACATACAAGTCAACAAATAATTTTACCTAGGAATACAACTAACAATGGATGTGAAGGACCTCTTCAAGAAGAACTATAATCCCCTGCTCAAGGAAATAAGAGAGGACACAAACAAATGAAAAATCATTCCATGCTCATGGTTAGGAAGAATCAGTATCATGAAAATGGCCATACTGCCCAAAATAATTTATAGATTCAATGCTATCTCCATCAAGCTACCTGTGACCCTCTTCACAGAATTGGAGAAAACCACCTTAAGCTTCATATAGAACCAAACAAGAGCTTACATAGCCAAGACAATCCCAAGCAAAACACACACACACACACACACACACACACACACACACACACACAACAAAGCTGGAGTCCTCATGTTACTGACTTCAAACTATATTACAAGTCTACTGTACTCAAAACAGCATGGTAGTGGTATCAAAACAGAGATATAGACCAATGAAACAAAGAGGTCTCAGAAAGAACACAACACAACTATAACCATCTGATCTCTGACGTACCAGAGAAAAACAAGCAATGGGGAAAGGATTCCCTATTCAAATAAATGGTGTTGGGAAAACTGGCTAGCCATGTGCAGAAAAACGAAACTAGATCCCTTCCTCACACCTTATACACAAATTAACTTCAAATGGATATAAAAATTTAAACATGAGGCTTAACACCATAAAAACATTTGAAGAAAACTTAGGCAATATCATTCGGGACATAGGCATGGGCAAGGACTTCATGACTAAAACACTAAAAGCAATGGCAACAAAAACCAAAATAGACAAATGGGATCTAATTAAACTTAAGAGCTTCTGCACAGCAAAACTATCAATAGAGTGAACTGGTAACCAACAGAATGGGAAAAAAGTTTTGCAATCTATCTATTTGACAAAGGACTAATATCCAGAATCTATGGAGAACTTATATTTACCAGAAAAAAACAAACAACCTCATCAGAAGAATAGGAGAAGGAAACAAACAGACACTTCTCAAAGGAAGACATTTATGCGGCCAACAAACATACGAAAAAAAACTTATCATCACTGGTCATTAGAGAAATGCAAACAAAACCACAATGAGATACCATCCCACATTAGTTAGAATGGCGATCATTAAAAAATCAGGAGACAACAGATGCTGGAGAGCATGTGGAGAAATAGGAATGCTTTTACACTGTTGGTGGGAGTATCAATTAGTTCAACCATTGTAGAAGACAGTGTGGTGATTCCTCAAGGATCCAGAACCAGAAATACTATTTGACCTGGCAATCCCATTACTGGGTATATACCCAAAATTTATAAATCATTCTACTGTAAGGACACATGCACACATATGATTATCTAAGCACTGTTCACATAGCAAAGACTTGGAACCAACCCAAATGCCCATCAATGATAGACTGGATAAAGAAAATGTGACTCCTATACACCATGGAATACTATGCAGTTATCAAAAAGAATGAGTTCTTGTTCTCTGCAGGGACATGGATGAAGCTGAAAATGATCATTCTCAGCAAACTAACACAAGAACAGAAAACCAAATGCCGCATGTTCTCACTCATAAGTGGGAGTTATGTGGACATAGAGAGGGGAATATTACACACCAGAGCCTGTTGGTGGGTGGAGGGCTGGAGAGGAATAGCATTAGGAGAAATACCTAATGCAGATGACAGGATGATGGGTACAGCAAACTACTATTATGCTATGAAACAAACCTGCACATTCTATACATGAACCCCATAACTTAAAGTATAATTTAAAAAAAAAAAAAAGGTTGTCACTAAATCTTCTACTACCATATATTATAGCAAGATACATTCAATTTGAAACAGAATAAGAATATTCACTCCAGAATTATAGTATATAAAAATACATAAAGCAAATAACTTAATTGTATTAGTAGGCAAGAAAATAACTAATACATGATTGATTTTTAAAATTTCATAATTATAAACAGAAATTTAACAATATAAAACAAAACTGAACCATCTATATAATTAAAATAAAATAAATTTTTTATTTTAATTTTAAATCAGAAATTATTACTTAGTTTAACACTTTTGCTGAAAGGTTAATAGAATAAGAACAGATTATAATTACCTAATATTGCCATAGCAACTTCTGTATAGAAATCTGTTAAATATTCACCAAAAGTCAAAAATCTAACAGCACAGAAACTTAATATTTCATATTAAATTACAATTCATGCAAATGAAATAAGCACCATGCTATATCACCATACTATTCACTATTAAAATAGAATTTTTAAGACAATACCTAAAATTAAGTTGGGGCTATAACTGCTGTAAAAAAAATAATTCACCTAACAGTCATAAGACTGTCATTTTAGAAAGACCTACATGCAAAACTGACCCTTCACTGGTATTTGGAAATTTGTATTTTAAAGGTTTCTCACCGTTTTCTAACTGAGAAAAGTAGATCACTGTACCTTAGCTGTTTACATAAACCAGGTGTCCCCAAACTTTTTACACAGGGGGCCAGTTCACTGTCCATCAGACCGTAGGAGGGCTGCCACATACTGTGTTCCTCTCACTGACCACCAATGAAAGAGGTGCCCTTTCCTGAAGAGTGGCGGGGGGGCTGGATAAATGGCCTCAGCATGCGGCCCACGGGGCCGGTAGTTTGGGGATGCCTGACATAAACAATGTGGTTGACTCTAAACAGCTGCTTTTCTTCTGGAAGTCTGGAACTTTTGCATGTGCGAGAGAGAATGCCTACGTAACTAGCTTCCATAAAATCTTTGGATACTGTGTAAGTCTCTATGAGACTCATACTGGTAAACAACATTGCACGTGTGTTGTCAAAATTCAAGGATAGAGGAATTAAGCACATCCTGTTAACTCCACAGGAGAGGGCTCCTGGAAGCTTGTGCCTGGCTTCCCCCAGACATGCCACATGTCGCTTTGCCCTGAGCTAATTTTATTTTGTATTCTTTCACTGTAACAAATCAAAGCCCTGAGTATGTCTGTTTGCTGAGTCCTTCCGAGTGAATCAACAAACATAGAGGCAGTCTTGGGAAACCCCGACACAATTGCATTATATGAAATTTGTTTTCTTTAAAGTGATGTGACATGTGACTACAATCAGAAAGCTGTTTTACACAATACCTTTCCCTAATCTGTTTTCCTTGACAGTTGCCTTGAAGATTCCTGTATTTCTGCTTGAATAAATCCATAAAAGGAATAGAAACAATTATGCCAAAAAAAGAGAAGCAGCAATCCTATTTTAACCAGAACAAAAAAATTGAGAATGTGAATAATTAAAAATATATCCCATAGTATGAAATATTCTAGAAGAGAAACAAACAGATCACAGTCAATTTTCTTCAGCTCAGCAAGGTTTCTTTTATAATAATTGGGTATCAGGTCAGGTGCAATGACACGCACCGAAGTCTCAACTACTCCAAAGGCTGAGGCAGGAAGATTGCTTGAGATCAAAAGTTCCAGGCTGCAATGCAGATTGTGCCTGTGAATAACCATTGCATTTTAGCCTGGAAAACGGAGTGAGACTCCAGCCTGGGGGACAACAAAAGACTCAATCTCAAAAAAAAAAAAAAAAAATCAAGAAAGTTATATATAAATGGTTAAAAGTCTGGTAATCCAAAATGACCAAATATTCCAGCTAAGTAACAAATAAGCAATATTTGAAGAAAGGTAATACCAGGAAAGTGTTTTACATTAAAACTATGTCAAGTTTGAAAATTTAAAAGATATTTAAAATTTGAAAAGTTAAAAGACACTCAAAATCTTAAAGGACTCTCATCACTTACAATGTCATTGTGCTAAAGATATCAAGTTTACCATTAAAGATTAATAGAATACTAGATATACTTTAGAATAAGTAGCTAATTCTCTTAAAAGGAAATAATATATAGTTGTCAAACATACCTATGTTAGAAATGTGTTCTAATAATATTTTCTTTAGGGATGAAATTCAAAAGAAAACAGTAAAAGCAGATATTGTAAGAGGCAATGAAAAGGAAAATGCACTAAAACAAATGGTCCCAGAACACAGTGAACTGGTATATTTAGCATATCACCTTATATTTTTCTCCATGATATTATATAGAAGATGTTAGCTTCTCCAAACTGCTGATCTGTAAACTACTTCTGACTGAAACTAGAACTCTTGAAATGTAGCTGTGTTACGATTCCATTTTGGAGTGAGTTGGGGTGTATGTGCTTTGGAAAAGTTGGTTGCAGTTATTGCTGCCAGATTTGTTTCAGAATGCATCCGGAAGAACTTATCAGGGACTTCAGTGCAAATTAAGTATTTCCACAAGGAGCAGATAAGAAGACCACAGTTTTTTCTCACACATTACCCTTAGGTTTTGACAATTCTGTAAAAGCGTTGGCACATGTACTCAGAAGTCAAGACATTTTCCCTGACCCTGGGCACGTAGCTTCTGCAGTTACAAAAGAGTTATGCAGAATCTTGATAGATTTATTCCTCCATATTTGGACACCAAACATACCAATCACATCAACAGTGCACCTTACACCTCAAAAACGGTTCTTTTGAAAAGGGCACCACCAAAGAGTTTTTAAAAGTTAAATCTAATTGACTTTTTAGTCCTCTTGTTAGAATTGATACTCCCTCCTTGAAATTCTCACATTTTTTATTTTTGCAACATCACTTCCTCTGACTCCTCTCCCACTTTTTTCTAGCCACTGCTCATTCTCCTTAACTAACTTTTTTCTCTGGGGGTATGGGGGAAATATTGACATTCCCAGGGTTTTGTCACTGGATGCCTTCTCATTCTACATCTGCATCATGGACAGCTCATTGAGATCAATGACTTTGCCTAATTAGAATAATATCAATCTATGTCTGCATCTCCAACCTCAGAGTTGGAGGGAAGGGAAATTATTCTTCCCTGTTGACCAGCTGTACTTCTCCATTCACTGAACATGTCCTAATCCTTTCTAGTGTACGTTATAAAGCTAGTACACAACCTGGAAACCTATGAATGGTCCAAGGTTTCTCTCTGCACCCTAATGTTTTACATTCAATGTTCACTAAATCATATTAACTGTACCTCTTTTCTGCTTCTGCTTTATATATCTACTGCCACAACATAAATATGTTTATATTTCCTAAGTCAACATGGTTTCGTCACTGATGGCTTTCATGAGAGAAAAATCCCTATCCATTATTATTGTATTTTCATAAATATAAGGAAAAATTAAGCAAAACAAATGAAGAAAGCACAAGGCCAAGAAAAAGACCAACATTTTAAAATGAGTAAATGGAGGTTACTTTATTTATTTATTTATTTATTTTACCATGGAAGGGTAAATGCCTCACACTAGCTTGATAGTAGTTCAAGGATTGAACTACAAGGAAACTACAGCTTTACTGCAAAAGCTTCCTTTTTCCAGCTTACTTTCTTGTACAGAGAATACAGTATATAATACATATAACATACTAAATATGTATTTTCAACTGCATGGGGATTGGCAGAGCTAAATACCATGCTATTCAAGGGTCAATTGTAATTATCGTTCATTTACTAGCTGCAAAGAATTTATTATACAAATTAAATAGAAGTTCTAATTAAATAAAAAGTCTAATTCATTATAATGTGACTATAAAAAAAACACACAGCATAACTTAAAATTTGTTTTCTTATTTACACAAAAAGATCATCTAGACTATTAGGAACCATCATTAAATAATTTTTTCAAACAATATTATTTCAGATTATAAATTATCTACAATTAACTTTTTTTGTTTTTTTTGTTTGTTTTTTGAGATGGAGTTTCGCTCTTGTTACCCAGGCTGGAGTGCAATGGCGTGATCTCGGCTCACCGCAACCTCCGCCTCCTGGGTTCAAGCAATTCTCCTGCCTCAGTCTCCCAAGTAGCTGGGATTACAGGCTGCGCCACCATGCCCAGCTAATTTTTGTATTTTTAGCAGAGACTGAGTTTCACCTTGTTGACCAGGATGGTCTCGATCTCTTGACCTTGTGATCCACCCACCTCAGCCTCCCAAAGTGCTGGGATTATAGGCGTGAGCCACTGCGCCTGGCCTTACAATTAACTTTTTAAATAATTATGAAATCTAGACTACTAAGAAAGTATTTTTTAAATGCATGCCATTTAAACAGTGCTTTTTTGTAATCAAAACATCCTTATTCTTTCTTATCTATGGTAATACCATCAAGAGTAACTCACTGCCAGAAATCTTACCTGGATTGCTATTTATAGAAAGTGCTTTAGATTTCTTTTCTTCTTTGTATTCAGAAATTAGTTTGAGAATGCTATGCATAAAATTAATAAAGGAAATTTATATTTTAATACTATTATTAAAAACATTTACCAAACATACTAAATTACTAGAGTATTTTAAACCATATCAGGATGTTAATTATCCTATACATTTCTCTTCTGTAAGCTCTACAAACTTCTTAGTACCTTTCTAATTAAACAATAAAGACAGGTGAAGTACTCATGAAGTGAAGGCAGTATAGCTCATAAACTAACTCACATCACCTTGACATAATAGAAAGTCACCTTCCTGGCTCTTACTGATAAGTCTTGGCTCTATAGCCTACAGGTATTTGCTGTTAAACAAGTTGCTTCTCTTAGGCACAAAGTCTTCTTCTAGATTGTACTGCCTTCTTTCACGAGGTTGTTTTACATGTTTAATGAAGTAGCATTTTTAACGTTCACAGAGAAATAGTAAAGTAGTGGAATCTGTTCTTAAATTTTATTGCTGGAACTATTTTGAAATCCCAAATCAAACCCAATGTGTATTTTTTCATAGGTTCTAATATTCAAATGCTTGTTTAAGAAAAATGTTAAGTCCTAATTTTGTTTATTGTTCTATTATTTGTGGCTTATAATTCGGGGCATCTCAATTATTTCATAATTTGTAAATAAATTTATTTATGAATACATTATTTCATTAAAATAGGTAACATGATTGTCCACTATTACTGAGCTCATCAATTCCAAGGAGAGAAAACTAACAGATGTCAAGAACTGGCTTGGGCTACCACTATCACTTCTCTACAGATTCTAACTGAACCAGCAGATGTTTGCTAGAGTGATAGTTAATCTCCATGTTATCTCCAACTCACATGGAAGACAAAGCCCTACTTTCATTTTTTTAAGTTCCATAAAGTAGATGAAAGTTGACATTTTCTCATTTCCAAGATACATACTAACAAAATATTTACACAACACCCCATGTGTTAGTTAGCTCCATTCTCAGTTTATAGATCACCTTTGTAACGAAAATCACAATTCTAAGGTGCCACCCATTTTGTTTTGATTCAAACTATTACTTAGGGGGCCGGCAACCAAATGACCTTCCCGTGACTGCAAAATATGAAATGCTTATTTTCTTTGTATTGTTCCAATTTTAGTATTTGTGCTGCCAAAACAAGCACAAAGCCTTACTTTTACATATAAATGCTGATGAGCCATGGATGAGGCTTAGTTCTGTTAAATCTAACTAACCAACCTGAGACTCAGATAATTCTGATGAATGACTTCCTATAAAGCAGAATTTAAAAATATTTTAAAAACTTGAGATAGTGATGCAAGCAGCTTGAGAGACCTTCATTATTATGGAAAACAGACCACTTGAGGGGCCAACCACAAGTTGATACCTACTACTCTAAGGAAGGATGGCATAGGAGCTTCCACTACCTGAGAAAAGCTTCTTACACTGTTTATTTTAAAAGTCTCAGGGTACATATCTGGTAGCAATAAAAAAAAAACTGTAATTTCTTTCTACAACATTATTTGAATATCTCTAATGACAGTTTAGAACTATCCCAACTAATATTTGCTTTAAAGAGAAAAAATACAAAAAAAAAAACCAAGGGACTCAAAAAATAACTCACCATGAAGGTCTTGAAGTCCAGCTTAAAATGTGGGCTCTACATCAGGTTTGGAGTGTGGGTGAATGTGTCAATTTGCTCACTATGTGTATTCATAAAGTTAGAATGTCCAGCTAACAGAACAAGGTTCTGGTGTTTTGGAAACAATGGCTGGGCATATAAGCATATGCATGTTAACTAAAAAATAATTGTAACTTTGAAGTTTTTTAATGGATCAATGTGAAGATTGAGCGATCTCAAACAGAAAGGGCATCAGGGCAACCTGGGTGGCAAAGGTTAATCATTACAAGACTATAGGAGCACTCTCAATGGCAAGAAAGCAGCAACAGAATCAATGAAAACGAAACAATGACTAACATGTCCTCTCCCCCTCCCTTTCTGACTTATAAAAACTATTCGTCTTCCCTGAACTTAGGGAACCCCTAAGGTTCTTGAAAAATTCAAGATCAGGCTATAGTTGATGGTCCCCAGTAAACAGCACAAGATTTTTTCGATAAACTGGACATTTCAAGACCCAAATATCTAATTAGAAAAATCAAAGATGTGAAACTACTTTATTCTATGCATAGGCATTATACTTGAAATAAAATGAACACTGGAATCCCTAATGAGAAAAGTCTTAAAAGTTTCAATATCAAGAATCCTGTACCTACTGCTACTTATCTAGCCCTTTGCTTGATTTCTGGCTGATGAAGTTCTGTAAGTCTTGAAAACTTAAAAACTTGCCACGCGCCGGGCGCGGTGGCTCAAGCCTGTAATCCCAGCACTTTGGGAGGCCGAGGCGGGTGGATCACGAGGTCAAGAGATCGAGACCATCCTGGTCAACATGGTGAAACCCCGTCTCTACTAAAGGTGCAAAAAATTAGCTGGGCATGGTGGCGCGTGCCTGTAATCCCAGCTACTCCGGAGGCTGAGGCAGGAGAATTGCCTGAACCCAGGAGGCGGAGGATGCGGTGAGCCGAGATTGCGCCATTGCACTCCAGCCTGGGTAACAAGGGCGAAACTCCGTCTCAAAAAAAAAAAAACTTGCCACTTGAAAACTACCTGAACCAAACTATGAAATCTCACCTGATACATAAGATGCAATTGTTACAATTATTTTAAACTTCAATTTAGTGTTCACTAGCCTTTTTATGTAAAGACTTACATTTCATTTTCAGCAGCAGCAGCATAATTTTCTGCAGTCTTCCCATAGACATCTAGAGAAAACACATCAATATTGTGCTGCAGAAGAAGAACGACTATATCTCTTTTTTCAAGACGAACAGCAAGTGTGAGGGCTGATCTAAAATAACAGAGAGAGAATTAAGAACTTTAATAATGTTTTTAAAAGCTAAATTTATATACTTTACCAACTTAATATCTTGCTTGTCCATGTTAATTCTACATGTATTAACCCAATTACATGTACTAATAAACAAGCACCTTGGGTGGTCAAGGGTTTATCTTTGTAAATTATCACGAAGGTTAAAAGCAAGGAACAAAAAGGAAGCCTCTTGTCCCACTGTGGTATGACATAGTTAAAGTTGTTGACTTAAAGTCCTTTGATGGGCAAGAAACTATGCTCTGGCCACCTATCTAAAGTAGGCAAATTTAAGTGAAGAATTATTCATTTCTTCCCTAGTCTTATATATTATAATGCAAAATCAACTAAAGGGTCAGATAAGAGCTATCTGTAGGCTTAAAACAATAATATTAATAGGAATGCTAATAATAGCAGCCGTAGCTTCAGTTAATGGTACTGATAAGTATGTGCTAGGCATTTAATTAAATGCCACATATATATATATGGAGGATAATATATGCTTTAAGGGTGGTTGTGTGTAACCATACACACCCACACACACACACACACACACACACACATGAGCACATACTTACATGCTTAGCCATTGTTTCCAAAACACCAGTACCTTGCTGTGTTAGCTGGACATTCTAACATAATATATATATAATGTTACTTATTCACAACCACCCTGAAAGAATATATTATTATCCTCCTCCTCACATAAGAAAACATACTTGGTGATAAGTAATATTCGCAAGGTCGCACATCTAGCAAGTGGAAAAGTTTGGGATTAAACCCAGTCCTGTGTGAACCTAAAGCTTGTCTTCATTAAAGTTTTACCCATTTAAAGCTATCTTTTCTCCCTCTCCCCATATCAATTAAAAACAACATCAAAACACAGTAGAAATGAAAAACATGAAACCCCTTTAGCTAATGTAAAATCATACAATCAAAAACATCACATTATTACATTATAAATAACACATCATATTACAAATAACAAACATCTGTCAATATACAGAGACTTCTATATAAAGAAGCCTTCTATGTGTATAATGTCTATATAGAGAGACAAATCCTACCAACACTCTTCTTTATGTTACTCAGTCCAAATAATTGTTTTTCTACCTAAATTATAATCTGTGTTGATATTTCTCACTATATCCCAATAATTAAAAGTTAGTCTTCTTATTAATGTAAGATTTCTGACTTGAGTGACCGCTGTCACTCTAAAATGACAGTCAGGTTTTAAAACAACACAACAAGAACTAAGGTCTGTACCTTTTAAGTGAATCAAGTGCATTTATATTTGCATTTTTCTTTAATAAAAATTCCACCATCTTCAGTTTTCCTTGACTCACAGCAAGTAAAAGTGGTGGAGGTTCTTCCTGTAAAACAACAGCAACAATTTATAATTCACAAAATCGCGTATTTATCAGCTGAATTGAAAACCTTATGTAAGTGCCTATGAGCTTAAATATACACAATTGAAAGAACGTAAGAGGTAGTCTCTTTCTTTTCACTCCTCGGTGCTTTTCTATGTGCTGCTCCTTCCCCTAGAAACAACCCTTCTCTGCCTCACTGTAAGAACTCTGGTCATCTCCAAAACTCATTTCAAACATCTACCAGTTCCAAGAATCTTTGCTTCTGTCACCCCATTTTGCATGATATTTTGCAAGGATTTTATTGTTTCCCACCTGAACCAAGAGCTTCTTGAGAGCAAGAGCTGTTTTTTGTTTTTGTTTTGTTTTTATATTTTTTTGAGATGGAGTTTCGCTTTTGTTACCCAGGCTGGAGTGCAATGGCGCGATCTCAGCTCACTGCAACCTACGCCTCCTGGGTTCAGGCAATTCTTCTGCCTCAGCCTCCTAAGTAGCTGGGATTACAGGCACGCACCACCATGCCCAGCTAATTTTTTGTATTTTTCTAGTAGAGACGGGGTTTCACTATGCTGACCAGGATGGTCTTGATCTCTTGACCGCGTGATCCACCCGCGAGGGCCTCCCAAAGTGCTGGAATTACAGGCATGAGCCACCACGCCCAGCCCAAGAGCTGTATTTTTATCTCTATGTCCTCAAACCCTAAGACACAGTAATAAATGTTTCAGGTATTTTTATTAATGATCTAAATTATTATCTATGAGTAGTGTCTCTTAAACTATTAATATATTCCAAAGAATATTTACTTTACCAGAAGTTGAAGAAAGACTCCAAAAGAAAGACTCCACGATCACCCATGTTTGAAAAATGTTACAAAACTGTGCAGTATGTAACTAGTATTTGAGAAATCTTTTGAACTTCACCTAATCCCTATTTGTCAATACTTTTCATGTAGAACATTAACATTTGAGGAATTAGAGTTTCAGGGATACCGTTGTGAGAGCTTACCAGTAAAGGTGGAGGTTTCCTCTGGGTGATACACATTTGCTTGATTCTATCAACGGTGTCAGAATCTCCTGGGGAGCACCTGACATTGTCATCTGAGATTCTGACACGATTGACAGTTCATTTGAAGCCTATCTCTTTTGAATTTGGAGAGCTGGGCTCTGAATTAAAAGAGACAGGCTTCAAATAAACTTACACTGCTTATTTTTAAATAGCCCATGGGTTTTCTCTAGTAGCATTTTTATCTTAGCTGTGAGAAAGCTCTGTATGAAATGTTATTCTCAATTACAATCTTAGGACCCTGGTGCAAATAATTATATAATTATAATCTTAGGACCCTGGTACATAACTCATTTTAAAATTTATTCGTATTCTGGTTTCCATATTGTTACTTAAAATTTTTTTTATTTTAGATAAAATATAAATCAGAAATAAAAATACAATGGCTTATCAATTAAAGCTCTAATAATTACCTATCTGAATTATTTATAGTGTAATAAAAGCCACTAAATTACCTGCATTTTTAGGAGACAATACTGAAGAGAAGGATATAATATTGTTGGCAATATGCATAACCTATGCAACTATACCAACTGATAAACCTGAAAAAGCTTACATGCATTCTAATGGGAAGATGATTATTTATAGTATATATAAGGAAAAATAGTTTATAAAACACTGTCTAAATTCAAAAGTTCAACCCCATTACTAAAGAATTTATATAAAATATATACTACATATTTGAACAAATATAAATATCTTGAAAACCTTGAAATATTTACTAAAATATACTATAAAACAGGTGTTGTAAAGTCATCCTTACAGAGGCAAGGGAGATGACTTGAGGAAGTGAAATACCTAAGTAGGCACAGTAGCAAAATGAAGATCACATGCTTCATAGAAACGGGCAACCTCTGGACAGCATCCTTAACAATGAGATGGGCTCAAGGGACACCAGACTAGATTCTTTAAAAGAAGCCTGGAATCCAGATTTGTGTACAGTCTCCCAAATCTTACATGTTGACACAAATTATAGAGGCAAACTAAACATGTCTGTGGGCCACATTTAGACTATAGACCTTGTATTTTTATATTTGCTATAGATATGTCTGTCTCTAAGCAATCGTACATAAAGCAAGTATTTTCATGTAAAATGCTTCTTCCCTTTTGTTTCAGATTTTTTGCAAATTTTTTTGTAATCTGGGATTACAGGCTCAAGAATGCAATAAAAATTGTTATTGAGTCATAATACACACTTCAAGCACTTTTACAACATTCATTCATTTATAATTTATGTTTACTTTTCCCAGATTAGCCAGGTGCAATGGCTCAAGCCTATAATCCCAGCACTTTGAGAGGCCAAGGCGGGTGGATCACAAGGTCAGGAGTTCGAGACCAGCCTGGGCAACATGGTGAAACCCCATCTCTACTAAAAGTACAAAAATTAGCAGGGCATGGTGGTGGGTGCCTAAAATCCCAGCTACTTGGGAGGCTGAGGCAGAGAACTGCTTGAACCTGGGGAAGAAGAGGTTGCAGTGAGCTGAGATCATGCCACTGCACTCCGGCCTAGGTGAGACAGAGCGAGACTCCTTCTCAAAAAAAAAAAAAACAAACCCCACAAAAACAAAAAAAAAAAAACAGATTGTTCACCAAATGGATAGTTTATAGGACTGCTGAAACTAAATCATTAAAAGGATACCTCTCTGTATTCTTACTAACTTCATGGTTTTCAGTGTTTCAAACTGCTATCCTTATTATGCATTGTTCTATGTACTTGACATACTGAGGCAGTCCATAACAGAGCTTCAGCTTTAAAAAAAGCTTTAGAATTTATTACTATTGTAATTGAGAGAATCCTGTTTTTAGTAATGATGTATTGACCTAATCACCAGAATGATAAGAAAGAGACTCAAAATCCTGAGTCAGTCTCTACTTATTAAAAGACTACTCAATAACAAATTTCTAACGACCCTCTAAATGGCAGTGAATAAATGATGGCGGCAAAGAAAAGGTGTTAGTCTGAAGCTGATAAATACTGCAAATAATAGTCCTTTTAACTTCCCAACCACAGAGGGAGAGACAGATAGAAGTTAGGCTAGCCGGGCGCGGTGGCTCACGCCTGTAATCCCAGCACTTTGGGAGGCCGAGGCAGGTGGATCACGAGGTCAAGAGATCGAGACCAACCTGGTCAACATGGTGAAACCCCGTCTCTACTAAAAATACAAAAATTAGCTGGGCATGGTGGTGCGTGCCTGTAATCCCAGCTACTCAGGAGGCTGAGGCAGGAGAATTTCCTGAACCCAGGAGGCGGAGGCTGCAGTGAGCTGAGATCGCGCCATTGCACTGCAGCATGGGTAACAAGAGTGAAACTCTTGTCTCAAAAAAAAAAAAAAGAAGTTAGGCTAATATTATTGGGAAGGAGAGATTTAAAGGAAGCAGCACCTATCAAACTCCAACTCTTCTGGAGATTTCCTGTTTCTGAGATAGGGGAATTTATATTATACTTATCTACAGTGGTTCTTAACCAGCAGTGTATCAGTATCTCAAGAAACTTGTCATTGTTGTTGTCAGGGACAGGTTCTTATTCTGTTGCTCTAGCTAGATGCACCACCATGCCCAGCTTCAAGGAAATATTTTAAAACATACATGTCCAGGCTGTATTAGAATTTCTATATTAAAATCTTCAGGGGATATTCTAGACTTATAGATTTGCTTTTAATTTCCTCAGGTTACTGTCAGGCACAATTCTAGCTTCGAACTAGCGCAGTTGATAATCACTTCAGTCTCATCTCTCATCCACATAGCAAATCCCCTTTATCATTTGAGATTTGGCCAAAAAGAGTAAAGAGCAAAAGATAGAGGCATTCACTGAAAACTCCATTTACTTTTCCTGGGTAAGGATAGAGAAGAGAATAGTAAACTCAAAATCCAACTTGATTTTACTATATAGAAGCTCCTTATCTCCCACCTGCCCATAAAGACATTCTGAACTTGAGAGTACAGTTTAGATGCTTATCTAGGTGGCTGTTTCTGCCAGAATTGAATAATGTCCATTATTTATGTGTTCTTCTCTCTGCTAAACTGATGAAGTCTCTCCGACTTCATCCCCACTATTCACTGCCTATCTGGTTTCCTCAGAGTCCTACCAAAATTGATCCATAGGCAATTTACAACTTATAAACTCTTTCCCAAAGTAAGAATGATTATCCCCAAAACCAAAGAGAATCTTGTTTAAACATATGAATTGAAAACAACACACAAAAACCTCTTCTCAGTATTTTCCCTCATTACCTAATTTCCAAATTAGCTTGTGTATTTCTAATTGCTCTCCTTTTCATTTTTCTGTCTAAGCTGTCTTTTCACAGGGGAATCCCTTTTTTTTTTTTTTTTTTTTGAGACGGAGTCTTGCTCTGTCATCCATGCTGGAGTGCAGTAGTGTAATATCAGCTCATTATAACCTCTGCCTCCTGAGTTCAAGCGATTCTTCTGCCTCAGTCTCCTGAGTAGCTGGGATTACAGGCATGCACCACCACGCCCAGCTAATTTTTGTATTTTTAGCAGAGATGGGGTTTCACCATGTTGGTCAGCCTAGTCTTGAACTCCTGACCTCATGATCTGCCCACCTTGGCCCCCCAAAGTGCACTTTCAAATGAAATCGTCTTCACATATATTACTTGTCAACAGCAGCAAGATTTACATTTATTGTGAAATGCTTTAATTTTCTTTGAAATTTAAGATAAAGCATATTTTTACAAGGGCAAATTTTACTTTCCTGTGTTACTTTACACTAATCAGAAAAAAAGAGTAATTTAGTGGAAAAAAAAACTTAACTATTACCTTTCCCAAACTCAGTTACCATGAATTACAAATTTATTGTAATTCATTTTTTGTTATAATTATTTACCATAAGTGCATGAAAGAAAGCTGTACCCTGTAATGCTTCTTTAAAAGTTTCAATATTTAAAGTAAAATCTTAGGCAGTTAAGGCATTTAAAAATATTTTCATTCGAGGAATATTTGAGATTCCAAATATGAAAAATTGACCCTTATATGTTAAAATAAATGCATTTCAGGTAGTTTGAAAATAACATTGCTTGATCTATACCTTGCTGCTTCTTTCAATATCTGTACCATGTGAAAGCAGTCTTTCTATCATGGCTGTATCTTCATTATACACAGCATAGTGTAGAGCAGTCCTGCCATAGTAATCCATAACATTTGGATCGGCACCTTTTTCCAGCAGAAAAGTTGCACAAGACACCTGCTTAAGTTGTATAGCCTGTCAATATTAGACCAAGAAAAAGATTGCAAATACTGGTAAATCAAAATAAACACTCCACCGAATTTGCCAACCAGTTATATAGTGGTATTACAATGAGACAAATTCATTTTATTCTATGTACTTAAACAAAATCCACCTCATGCTCAGAGTTCGATTCTATATACCTTGATCAGAGGTGTCCTGCATTCACTGTCGAGGAGGTTAAGCTGGCAATTGTTGAGCACCAGGAGTTCTACCACTTGATATTGGCCAGTGGCACAGGCCAAATGTAGAGCAGTCCTGTGAGAATGAGAGGACTTTTAAAAACATGTAATTGACAGGGTGATAGATGCAGCCAACCACCATTGCACGTGTATACCTATGTAACAAGCCTGCCTGTTCTGCACATGTATCCAGAACTTAATTAGCATATTATTTCTCTGTCTTCAAAAAAAATATTTAATTTTCTTGTAAAGAAAGTACAATCTTTGTTAGCCCTTAATACTCACCATATTAATAAAAGAGCAGGCTATTTAACAGAAAAAGCTTGGCCTTTGGATTCGGTTTAATTGGGGGCCTGAATGTTACTTTAAGCTCTGTCACTTAGCTATAATTTAGCCTTTCTTTGCTTCAATTTCCTCATCAAGAAAATATATAAGAGAATAGTAGTTATCTCACAGAACAACGCTGTGATGCTTACATGAGAATCTATGTATGGCATTTACAACAGTTCCTCACACAAATGACAGCTCAATAATTTTTAGATATTACTACTTACAAAGACATTTTATTTAGGTAAGATGATACAATTGTATCTACATTGAGGTACGTATTAAAGATTAGAAGTATCACTGCATTTCAGTCATTTTCAGATGTTCATGTTCTCATTATTCTCTTATATAAGCTACTATTCTCTTATATATTAACATCTCCTGAAACTAGAATACCATTTACAATACATTATTTATTACAATTATAACTGGCAACATTTTAAACATTCTCTTAATGATATATAAAGTAATGTGGTATCACCCAATCCATAGTGCCTTACATTAAATGGGATAAATGCATAGAACAGGCAGTTCTACTCATGTAATTAGCACCTAAATAAAGTACTATGGAAAAAGAAGACCAAAATAAAAACAACAAATTCTTTTTTTTAATAAAACACACCTTATATATGTAATCAAAACAAGAAATTCTTAAAACAAAGTAATTCTTACTTCAATTTTCAAAAAAAATTAACCCAAAGAAAACTCAGGATTCAAATGAATAGGCGTGGCTCATTTTTTTCAATACTTAGATTTATAGACTGTTAAGTAAATTAGGTAGTTGCAATGATTAATAGTAGTAGCTGAGACTGTCATAGTTTTTGAAAGGGCAGTTAAAGGTTACCTTTTACTATTTTCTAACTTCAGAAGTGCTTTTGTTTTTTAAAAAAAAAAAAAAAAAAAAAAAAGGAATAAAAGATCCAACTGGGATTCAGTCCTAATACTGCCATTTTAAATCTCTCAGCTTGCTCAGGCTGGGAAGGTAAACATGAAGTTGTTCAACATGAAGTTGAAGAGTCCTGAGAGACAGTGGTATGTGTCTACTACACAATAGGTATCAGATTTTGTTTGATGAATAACTGGATTGAAAGAATGTACATATACAGTTGGGGAATTTTATTATGAAAGAAAACTATAAATTAACGCAGTGGCTATGGAATAATCACTTATATTTGGTAATAATCACTTATATTTGCTTATATTCATTTTCACGAGGACCCCGGTAAATGAACTTAAAATTGTTTGCATATATGTAATAAAAACATTTATATACTAAAATCTATGCATAATAAATGAGCACAAATATTCTCTCTACCTCTGAAGAGGCTAAAAGTTCACAGAAGATACCAATAAACAAAAATTAAAATGAGGCCAGGCACGGTGGCTCACGCCTGTAATCCCAGCCCTGCGGGAGGGCAAGGCGGGGGGAATCACTTGAGGTCAGGAGTTTGAGACCAGCCTGGCCAACATGGTGAAACCCTGTCTCTACTAAAATATACAAAAATTAGTCAGGCATGGTGGTGCACACCTATAATCCCAGCTACTCAGGAGGCGGAGCTGGGAAAATTGCTTGAACCTGGGAGGTGGAGGTTGCAGTGAGCTGAGATCATGCCACTGTACTGGGTGACAGGGCAAGACTCCACCTCAGTAAGTAAATAAACAAACAAATAAATAAAAATAAAATAAAATAGAAAGTGAGATTTTCTTCTGTGCAAGATTTATATTTCTTCTCTTCCCAAGGATAATTTCCTTAATAAAAAACCATTTACTAGAAGTTTTAGACATGTTCATCATTTATACATCATAGATAAGAAAAAATCACAATATACCTGCCAGAAAAGAAGAAATGTTATATTTTGTACAAATACTTGGCTTACAAAATAGACTGTGTATATGTATAATCAAACCAATTTTTTTTCAAAGTACATCTTCACACATCAACATATGTCTGTATCTACTGACACCTGCAAAGGTCCTGTGTTGTCCCATCCTATGGATATACTGAAATTTATCTCTAATTTTATAAAACTTATAAAATCCATTATATGGGATTTTCCCAATACATTGCTGTTTTAAGCAGTCCTGAGAAAAACAAATTGCATGTATCTCTATTTCCCAGAGGTATTTTAGTATAATGGAATTGATGGGTTAAGGGTACATATATTTTTAAGGTGTAATACTTGTCAACGAATTGTCTATTTGAAAAGTCATCAGAAATGTAAACTTTAAACAGCAGTTTCTGTACTGCTCCTCTTTACCCTCACAAACTTGTGGACCGAAAACACTATTTCATTCCTTATTTAACTTAAATACCTTCTCCTAGGAACACTAAATATTTTTTCCTATGTGCATAGTGCTGGGAAAAGGTCTTGACTTGTGTGTGACGGAGTATATGTTGTTTGCCGAGAGATGATGGCAAGGAACTCTGAGCCATCCCCAGGAAGAAAACTGCTAGAATAGTAGGGAATATGTACTGCTCATGCACTCATTAAACCAGTTCCCAAAACACAGGATATTTGACCTTGACCCTGTTGCTGACTCGCAAAGAGTGCTTTCTAACTTATTTCTATTTTAGTAATGAACAGGCACTATCTGCCTGTTTAGTCCATCTTTATTCTATGAAGAAACACTGAGCACCTGCTTATTAAAAAATAATCACTTGTTCACAAAGAATAAATACATGGGTCAGAGTCTGCTCTCGGCGTTCAGTTGGGAAATGCTGTCAGCCCCCTGACGGTCCCAATCTGATCCCACTTTTGCACTCTATCTTTGTTTCTGTTTCTTAATTCCTTCAACGCTGCCTGGGTTGGGGTCTCTATGACTGAGCTTGTCTCAGCAGCATAGGTTGCTTGAATATCTGGAAAAATAAGAGGTCTTACTGATTTGAAGAATTCTCTGTAAAATGAAGATCACTTTTCCATATAATATGTATATATACTTATTGTCTTGTTAATTTTTTCTTATAAATAGGAGGTTTTAATTTTTTCATTTTGCCAAATCGACCTTCAGAATGTGTGCTTGTGATAGCTATAGGAACATAAACATGTATCAATATAAGTAAGCATTTGTGTTTTTTCTGTTACCTTTCTTATTTTGTGCACTTAAATTTTTAATCTATATTCCATAAGAAACTTATTTCTGTGATATATGATTCTAGATAGTTTTCTCCAAATATTTAGCAGACAATTAATTTATGAGTAATTCATCTTTTCCTACTAATATGAAAAGTCACCATTATCCAATTCTATTAGATTGGTGCAAAAGCAAACGTGGTTTTCACCATTACTTTTAATAGCGGCAAAAACTTCCATGGCTTTTGCACCAACCTAATAGATTCTTCTTATACATATTGGGGTATTCCTGGATTTTCTAACCTGTTCCATTGACTGATTTGTCGTTTCAGCTATTAGTAAATAACTTGTGTAAATTAATAGCACGTTTTCATCATCTAGAAAGGCAAGTCTTTTTTGACTCCATTTCCAAAGTTTTCTTAATGTCATCACAATAGTAAAAGCATGTGTAATTCAAAAATGTTAACACGTTGATAAGTTTATTTGGATCATGTAAAATTTATAAACACAGAAAGAGCTCAGAACTTTAGAAAAATGTGCCTTTCTACTTCAAGGACATAGACCATCTTCCCACTTCGAAGTTTCCCTCTAAGGTCTCTCTGTGAAAACCATACTCACATAGGTGTCCATTGATGCAAAATAAAGACTGGATTTTATCCAAATAATTTTTAGCTGTAAAGCTGATATATTATGGAAATGATTTCTCTCATTATGTACCTTTCCATAATGTATGTAACACTACACTTTAAAATGTGTACATTAAAAATAAAATGCTGCACATGTTGAATTTTATTAGTAAAATCACTTTAAAATGATTTATAAAGAAGGGGAATGGTGAGTGATTGGAAACTAACTAGTTTTGTTTTTGTTTTGCTGCTCATGAAAATGGCCTGGGCGTTCACCCCTGCCGAGATTTCCACATCCCAGGTGCAGCTGAACCAGCCAGGGAAGAAAGTCTGGCCCCTTTGGTGAGAGGACTCGCCCTCACCCTCACCCCTACACCCCTGTCCCCTACCCCATCCACCCCCAACCCTCACCCCCACCCCTCGTCCGCTACTCCAATGAACCCTCACCCCATCTCCCAACCCCACACCTTCCTTGCCCCTACCCCCAAGCCTTCATTCCATCGACCTAAGTCCATTCACACCCATCCCATCCCCTACTCCCCACTCCCATTCCCCAACTCACTCCCCACACCGGCACCCAATTTACCCCCACTCCCCAGGCCCCGCTCCACTCGCTCCCACCCCAGTCAGGTACCCCCTCTCCCCCAAATCCATACCCCGAGCCCGACACCATCCACCCCGCAGCCCTCAGCCTGGAAGGGGCACTTCTCCCACATCCGAAGGCCTCCTCCTGCAGCCCCAGCTCCCGGCCCCCTCACCTGTTCTTCTTGTCTTTGTCATTGATGCAATTTTCCGTGATCAGAATGGTGTCCAGTTTCTCTAGCTTACCACTGACGGCAGCTCTGTGGATCCTTTGCAGATGAGAGGGTTTGATTTTGTATTCGGCACACGAGAAGCCGTCTCCCCACAAGTGCTGCAAGCGGTTTTTGCGCTTCGGCCAGACCGGATAGTCTTCGCTATCCTGTAGGCTGTTCCTCGGCAGCAAGTCGTAGGCCGAGAAATGACTGAGTTTAAAGCTCCCAGTTTTAGCCATACTTTACTCGCCTTCGGGGATCGCCGTCCTCGAAGCGCAACAACAAACAACGCGCTCAGGCCACGGACCTTCGCACAGACGCTCGGCGCCTCCCGCGTCTCGGCAGACACGCCCGGCGGAACCGTTCGGCCCAGCGCGCACGCGCACCTCAGCCGTCCCGCCCCACAGCCCCGCGGCGGAGAAACCGCGAGAACAGCGCTCTAGCCGGCCACGTGCAGGCGGCCGCTGCTGCAGAGGCGCATCAGGCTGGCTGGGCTCCTTGGAGCGCGAGGCTCCTCGCTGCCCCAGAGCCCGTCTGACTGTCGCCCGCGCCCCCTTACCTTCCTCCACCGGCTCCCGACACGCGGCGCCCCCTGCGCGGCCCTCTGCAGCGCGGAGATGGGGCTGAGTGGCCTTCGCGTGCTGCAGCCGCCCGGGCCACAGCCGGACTTTGCCCCTGCGTCGTCCCGGGGTCCTGAGCTGATGGGCGCTAGGCCGGAGGGCGGGATCCGGGGTTGCCACCGCTGCAGCCTACGCCCCACTTGCAGGTGGCGGCTGCAGCTCGGGCTCCGGCGGGGGCCGGCGGGGCTCCTGGTCGCTGAGTGTGCGGCCCACCCGGCCGAGGGTGTTCGCCTCCTGCACCAGGGGCTGAAGCCCAGGCCTTGCGCTCCTGCCGCTGACTGCCGGACTTGCCGCTCGCTGCCCAACTGGCTCCGGGGTCCACGCAGTTGGTGGTGCAGTCCTGGTGGGGGATTCCCAATCCGCGGCGACCTCTGGTCCATGTGCTGGTGGCGACTGCAGCTGCGGCACCCGTGGGCTGACGTGCCTTCCCAGAGCCGCGCCCGGCCACACCCAAGGGCCCCGCAGACTGCGCCGCTCTGGCCAGCTGCCCCTGAATTGCGGGCACGGAATCTGTTGCTGGGCACTCTGCAGCCACAGGGATGAGACTGAGCGCTGGTTCTCAGCCTCGTGGTGCCACTGGGGCTACGGCCTGACTTCACCACCGCGACAGCCAAGTCGTGTGATGGCCATGTGTGAGGAAAGGCAATCAGGGTTGCCGTGGCTGCTGCCTGCATGCCACTAGGATGGGGCTGAGGGGCCGCCAGGGGACGAGCACGTCGTGGCCACTGGGATGGGGCTGAGGGTCTATGTTTGTTCTTATGTACCTGGTCGGATAACTTCCCAACAGCCACCACTGCAGCATCCTGTCAGGGAGTCCTTGCTTCTGGGGCGAGGGTAGGAAGGGCGTGAAGAATCAGAGATTGTTCAGCCATTGCTGCCGGTGATAGACGTGCAGGTGGAGGCTGCACCTAGGGCACTGGCGCGGGTTAGTGGATCTTCTCTGTTGGATGGTCTCCTGGTAGTCCATTGCACCATGGCCAAGCCGGAGGGTCTGCTCCGCCTTAGCACACACTAGGAGTCCGGGGGCCACAGGCATGGTTACTGCATGGTCAACCAGAGGGGGCTCAGCAGCCAGTTCATTCTTCCTGCCTCCACAGGGCGTGGCTGACAGTGGTGGCGGTGTCTGGCACCAGTGTACAAGGTTAGGGTCCTGGTTGAGGAAAGGGGTGGGCAGATGGGGGTTGCCTGACCACTGCAGCCAGAGGATGGCATACAGGTGGCAGCTGCACTGCAGGCGACAGAGCAGGCTAGCAGAGCTCCCCTGGGATGGCCTGGGGGTTGCTGAGTGTTCTCCAACCTGGCTTAAGAGTCCATTCCTTCTTTACCCTTGCCTGGAGAGTGGGCCATGGCACTGAGCACTCTGCAGCCACGGGCATGGGGCTGAGGGGTGAGTTCCTGGCGTGGAACTGCCAACCCTCTGACTACCTGACTTCATGGCATGTGAATAATTCTAACCATGTGAATAATTTCTGTGGGAAGTAGAAAAGTTCCTTTTTAAGGTTTCCTTTCTTGTTAAAGAGTAAGTGTTCTAATAACTTTGTTAAGCCCTATCCTATGTAGCTCTTAAACATGCCATACTTAGCAGGTGTGTAGTACATTCTATGTCTTTATACTTTAACCAAGATATCAGTGCCGAATGTGCTCACAGTCATGTCCCAGCTCTCCATTGCTTTTACCTGTTTAGAAAAGATTTACGTTGTTAGCCAATGGGGTTTTAGTGTCAATTGTGAAGCCTGGCTCCAGCCAATGGAGATCAGACACAGCAGTAAGGACTACCCCAAATGCCTAAGGGATAAATTTGTGTGTTTTCCTTTGTTCATGGCACTCTCGTGGCAAGATGGCTAGTGAAAGTACCCTTCCTGCAGTCCAGGAAGCAACAAGCATTGCTGAAAGATCCTTTGTCTCAGTGCTATTTTTTTTTTTTTTTTTTTTTTTTTTGCAGCACCGAACATCTATTTCCAACAATTTCATTAAATGTAAATTAAGCACATATATTAAAAGAGTTTGTCACATTGAGAAAAAAACAAAAGCAGGAGACAACTATGTTGATTCTACAAGAAATAGAATTATATTCACACAAAGAGATAACACAGATATACACCTAGTTAAGATGGCGCAAAACATTACTTCAATGTTAATTGCATCCTTCTGATGTTGTATATTGCATATCACGTAAGATATCACCGTTGGGGAAAAGTGGAAGAGGTGTAGTCTGGACCTTTATTTCCTATTTTTTCACCTCAATGTGTATCTATAATTAGTTACAAAAAACAGTAAATAAAAGTAAAGAGATGGAAAAGTTATATCATGTAATCCTTAATTAAGAATATACACTGTGCATTTTTTTTTTTTTGAGACAGTGTCTCACTATGCTGCCCAGGCTGCATGCAGTGGCACAATTATGGCTCACTGCAGCCTCAGTCTCCCAGGCTCAAGCATTCCTCCCACCTCAGCTTTACAAGTAGCTAAGACCATAGGCAAGCACCACCAGACCTGGCTAATTTTGTTTATTTTTTGTAGAGACAAGGTCTACAAAAGACCTTGCCCAGGTTGGTTTCAAACTACTGGGCTCAAGTGATTCTCCTGCCTTCGCCTCCCAAACTGCTAGGATTACAGGCATGAGCCACCACACCCAGCCAACTATAGATAATTTAGGCATAAAAGTATCATATTTGAAAAGTAGCTTAAATGTTTTCTTTCTATTTCCACATAGCTGCATACTAACTGTGGAGATTGGGATATGCTTTTGAATAAGAAATGAAGGTTCTAAAAAAGATGAAATAAGAATTTTAAAGTGCCTCAAACAAACTGGTGAGTGGTTTATCCAATATGTGAGCAGTAAAAATAATTCAATTCTTTGGACCCAGGGTACTAAAAAGCAGAAAAATAATTTTCTGAAATGGCCTAGCTTATCTCCTCTCCTCCTCCTCCTGGCCTGGGAGCATCCAGGTCAGAGGGTGGGGTGGGGAAAGCCTACATTAAGTTTTTATTTCAAGGTAGAAAATCTGTCTCCTTGATTGTTTGGGAAATACAAAGAGACTAGGGCAGCTCAGTGTTTAAAATAGAGCATCAGACAGTATAGAATCTGAGTGTAAAAATTTCAATTCCATTTACTCTAGCAATTTACATAATATCAAAACGTATAGTTATGCTGTGTTCACAAATATGCACACATATCTGTTAATATGCATTCTTAAATACATGTGCACCATTACATTACACATACATGCATGGACACACCAACTGAAGAAAAAATTATTGTTTATATATTCAATTTTCCTTTGAGTTTAAAGCCTCTGTTTAAAATGCTTTTATTCCTAATTTGGGGGGCTACTTACTGAGATTATTTTTCATCTCATTAAAAAACAGCTTTAGGATTTCCTTCAGAGAAGTTCTGCTGGTGGCAAATTCCACTGGTTTTTGTCTGAAAGGTAGGCATTTTGTCCTATTTTTTCTTTTTATTATATAGAAAGATAACATATAAAGCAAAATTTGCAGGTCTTAATTATACAGTTTAATGTGTTTTTATGAATGCAAATGCCCATAAAGCAATCAGTCTAATGTATTCTCACAACGTTTCCATTGAAGCAGAAGGGAGACATTCTGTTCTAGTCAATGTGGATTATCCCATTACAGCTCCCAAATACGATGTGTACTCCTGAGGACTCCTTACGAAGGGAGGTATGTCATATGTCCTGTTCCCAATGAAGAGGCCTAACTAGAAAACTAAAGGCTAAGAAGAGGTAGGAGGCTGCTCTAAGGAGGGGTCTCACTCTGCCCTTGGACAGAGAACAGGTGGTGGTCAAGGCCCTGGTGAGGGCAGTAGCCTCTGTCAGGAGCCTCTGGCTTCTAGTCACAGGCACCCTAGACCTGGGCTTGGGCAGCAGGGTGCGCTGTGGGCCTGCTGCTGAGGGCTCTATGGGGCTCTCAACTGGAAAACCAGACACCTGAACTTGGTCTCCATTCAGGGCATACTGGGGCCAGCAGCTGGGCCCTCTCTGGGCCCTTGGGGAGCATGAAGCAAGGCCTAGCCCAAGTAGCACCTCCCAGAAATGTCACCCCACCATTGGGAGTGACACTGTGGGCACAGGGAGTGATTCGGTTGGGCAGAGGAAGAGGACCACATTTGCATGAAGGGGCCTTCTCTCTTGTGGGGCTAGAGGGTGGATAAAAGGGGCCTGCAGCGTGACTATCTCAGCAGAGCTCTGGAGCATCTGCACCATAGCATCGACTCCACTCCTCCTCCTCCTCCTCCACTGCACAACTAAGGACAGTTCTCCGCATCCTCATCCCCCAGCTCACTGACACCACCTCCCAAACTAATGCCAAGAATGTCCTTCCCTCTTTTTTTCTCCAGGCCATAATGAGTGTCTGTGTTTTCAGGGTCACTGCCTAATCTGTGCCCAGGCCTTACCTAGATATCTAAGGGCTCAAAACCAGGTAAACTGAACGCTTTTCCAAAGTCAAAGAAGCAGTTTATGACATTAGAGCACTTAGCAAATTTACCCTCTGGCTTAATTTAGACCAAATGTTTAAATTTTGAAGACATCTTTATTTTACCAACAATAGTTTTAAAACTGTCTTTATTTCCCAAAGATTAATGAAGTTACATGAACTAA